ATACTAGTATATCCCTTTAAAAAAATGTGGTGGTGATCTGTTGGCATCAATATCATAGTCTAGTGATACAGTAAGCTCACCAGTTGCTTTTGACTCTAATCAGTTTTGTCCACCTCTGTTGGTCAGGTGCAGTAGACATGAAAGTTTGCATGTTTGAGGCCTGTCTATTCTGCCAAATTCTGTATCCAGATCTCTCTTGGTCCCCCTCTTTTCCTCTACTAAGCCGTATAGTAAAATGACCTGGCAGCACTTTCATTTCTTTGTTTATTTGTTACAGTGTATGTGTATCCAGAATACAACAATTCAATAGATGTTTTCAAAGCACAATGATCAGAAAGCTGTTTTGACTCGGCCTAAGTTAAGGTTAAGTAAAGGTTGAAAAGTGAAAGATTAAAAAGGGCTTTCATAGCCTAGGCACTCAGAAATGTTGCAGGAGACTTGCCATATCAACACTGAAGCAAACAGCTGAGGAAAAAAAGGGGGAGGGGGCGGGGGAGAGAATTAAGAAACGGCACTAACCAGAGGGAATCTCAGCTTGATAGTTCATTGTATATGTGTGTTGTTTCAGGCTGGAAATTAAATAAACCCTATTTGTATGATGTTTTGTATTTTTTGTTTTTTAACGAAACTTGCTAGTTAAATTGATTCATTGTTTTTTCTTATTCTTTTGTTAGGTTTGATAGCTGGCCAGATTTTGAAGATAAACATAAAAATGAGGAAGGCAAAGGATTTCTGACCTTACATAAACAACTGGAGCCATATCTACTGAGGAGAGTGAAGAAAGATGTGGAGAAATCTCTGCCATCAAAAACTGAAAGAATCCTTCGAGTTGAACTTTCATCAATGCAAAAAACATACTATAGGTAGGAGTGACTAAACCTTGTGGTAACTTGTAATCAAAGTTTAAGGCAAACAGGTGATTGGCCTGTTGTGCCTTTACATGGCGGAGGGGCAGCCTCCATGCAGGCCGCCTGGCTGATTTACGGTTACCCACTACTTCCGGAGACGCTTTGAAGCACTCAGGTTCAGCCAGACCCTCCTTCTTTAACAGCTGGACTTGGGATCAGTCTTATCGGAGTTGACTGTAAACCTTGTAATAATATAAATTCAGAATGAGAGTTCATTGGTTGAGATGCTGCATCTATCTCTGACTCAAAAATGAATAGTTTCTCTTGCAATGATAGTTTTTTTTTTTTAATTTTATTTTTTGTATAGAAAATTCTCTCACTCTATTATTGCATTGTTAAAAAAAAAAAGGTTAAACCCTATTGACTCAGAAAGATAATACAACAGGAGCAAATCCCTTAATCCTGTTCAACTGTATTTTAGGACACAAATCAGCCTGCAGTCAACTATGGGTGTGTTGGCAGCTAGCAAGTAGATGAAGCTAGTAACTTGGCAGGGACCATTGTTTTTTTGGGGTTTTAAAATCGCATTCACCTGTTCTCTTTTGCAGTAGAATTGAATACTCAACTGTCATAATTGTTTCCTTCTTATGGGCCTTGATAACACCCAGCACACTTAGAAATGGGTGGAACAAATCGATATGCAAGTTACAAATGTTACAGTTCCATTGCTGGTGAAAATCCCATATTATTATTAATTTATTTATTATTAATAATTAATTATTAATAACGCCCATGGATAAGACCTGATGTGGAATCTTCCCCATTTGGGTTTCAGGACCCCTTTTGGGATGAAGAAAGAATAGACCTACTGCCACCTAATAAGCATGTCATGAAATCAGACTTTTTTTAAGGGCCCACCTAACAACCATTTCATGAAATAAGGCTAATTAGGGGCCCACCTAACTAGCATTTCATGAAATCAGACTAATTAAGGGCCCACCTAACAAGCATGTCATGAAATCAGACTTTTTTTAAGGGCCCACCTAACAACCATTTCATGAAATAAGGCTAATTAGGGGCCCACCTAACTAGCATTTCATGAAATCAGACTAATTAAGGGCCCACCTAACAAGCATGTCATGAAATCAGACTTTTTTAAGGGCCCACCTAACAACCATTTCATGAAATAAGGCTAATTAGGGGCCCACCTAACTAGCATTTCATGAAATCAGACTAATTAAGGGCCCACCTAACAAGCATGTCATGAAATCAGATTAACCCACTGACTACCAAGCCCATTAACCCTTGCATTTCCCCAGATACCACGTATTTTAGTGTTTACTAAAAATGCCATAGCTTCACAACTATTTAATATAATCTCACAATATTTTGTATTTTTGCACCAAACTGAATGAAGAACAGATTTCCAGAAAAAAAAGTTGTTTATTTTGTTTTGCATCATCATTATGTGGCTGTAGATTGGTGCAAAAAAGGCAACCGGAAAATCTTTTATCTGACAACAATAAAGACAAATAAAAATGTTTATTTTCAAAAAAATATTTAACAAAAATCTATAATATTTTGTATTTTTGCACAAAATTAAACCAAGAACACATTTAAAGAAAAAAACAATAAGGTTTACTCTGACATAGTCATCATCATCATGTGGCTGTATATTGTTGCAAAAAAGGCAACTGAAAATCATTTATCTGACAACAATAAAGACTGATAGTGATGATTTTTTTTTCAAAAATTTTCAACAAACATATATAATATTTTGTATTTTAGCACAAAATTGAACCGAGAACACATGTGAAGACAAAAAAGGGGGTTTACTTTGTCTGACATAATCATCATCATCATGTGGCTGTAGATTGTTGCAAAAAAGGCAACTGAAAAATCCTTTGTCTGACAATGATTCAGACTCCCAAAAAATGTCACAGCTTCACAACTGTTCAGTATCACTTATCCTATCTGATATTGTTTGCACAAAATTAAATAGATAACAAATATCAAGACAAATGTAGATTTACTGTTTTATATCATCATCATGTGGCTGTAGAAATGGTGCAAAAAAGGCAACTGAAAAATCCTTTGTCTGACAATAATTCAGACTCCCAAAAAATGTCACAGCTTCACAACTGTTCAGTATCACTTATCCTATCTGATATTGTTTGCACAAAATTAAATAGATAACAAATATCAAGACAAATGTAGATTTACTGTTTTATATCATCATCATGTGGCTGTAGATATGGTGCAAAAAAGGCAACTGAAAAATCCTTTGTCTGACAATAATTCAGACTCCCAAAAAATGTCACAGCTTCACAACTGTTCAGTATCACTTATCCTATCTGATATTGTTTGCACAAAATTAAATAGATAACAAATATCAAGACAAATGTAGATTTACTGTTTTATATCATCATCATGTGGCTGTAGATATGGTGCAAAAAAGGCAACTGAAAAATCCTTTGTCTGACAATAATTCAGACTCCCAAAAAATGTCACAGCTTCACAACTGTTCAATATCACTTATCCTATCTGATATTGTTTGCACACAATTAAATAGATAACAAATATCAAGACAAATGTAGATTTACTGTTTTATATCATCATCATGTGGCTGTAGATTGGTGCAAAAAAGGCAACTGAAAAATCCTTAGTCTGACAATGATTCAGACTCCCAAAAAATGTCACAGCTTCACAACTGTTTAATATCACTTATCCTATCTGATATTGTTTGCACAAAATTAAATAGATAAAAAATATCAAGACAAATGTAGATTTACTGTTTTATATCATCATCATGTGGTTGTAGATATGGTGCTAAAAAGGCAACAGAAAAATATGTTATCTGACAGCAATATATAGAAAACGCCCCCGTGACATGATGGTGGCAGCAAATGTTGAGTGGAGAGATGGATATAGACTCTGGTAGTCTGAAATAGACAGCTTTTTCACAACACATGTGACGCAACAGTACAAGAAACCCTGTCATTTCATTTGGGGTTGTGTGTTTCCAGTTCCAGCACTAATCTTTGTCTCAGCATAACGGTTTGTTTCTTTAGCAAACACAGCAAGTATGTCTTTACTGAAGAAAATATCCAGTGGTTCATTTGTTCCTTCTGGCAGAAATAAACCAGAAGTGCCAGTAAATGGGGGTACTCCAGGAAAGCCTTCTAAATCACAATGCCAGTCATCAACCATTTGGGGGCGTGGCACATCTTCTCCGGACTCGCCAGATGATGATGATTCTGAATCAAAAGCGGCAATGTTATCTTCATCATGCGCAGACTCAAGCACAACATCTTTATAATCTGTGGGCTTTGACTGAATACTCTTACAAGAACTATTAGCATCATAAACTGCAGCACTAGTGCTTTCAGCCGACAACACTGTCTTTGTCAGACGACTTCGAAGCGTCATACTGTCGTTTTACAGTCGACGATGTTTTGAATGGCACTTCGTTAAATTTATTATAGTTATAGCCATCAAACTGTTCAGAAGTGTCTTCAAATTCACTTTTTGAAGCAAAATCAAGAAAATCGCATGCATCATTAGAAAATTAGGAGAGATATGGCCACCACGATGGTTCCGATAATTTGACGCCATGATGAATTTTTCGGCAATGTCTCACTGTCATGGGAGCTAACTAAAAAAAATCGTCAAATATTTACTTTAAGCACTACGAAGTTATTTCCCTTAATTAACCTTACAGAAATGAATAAGCTAGAGGTTTCTACTAAATCCATCATAAAAATCGCGATTTTAACATGGCGGCGAGCATCCAAAGCTGAAATCGCAAGGAGTGTGACGTTGGCAACAGGAAGTAAACGTCGCCTCGTCGCATTACGTGCGACGCTGGTAGTCAGTGGGTTAATTAAGGGTTTGCGGTAAATAAATGTCTAAAAGGCACACGCATATATATATATATATATATATATATATATATATATATATATATATATATATATATATATATATATATATATATATATATATATATATATATCGCAGCCTAGCTGTAAACCACAACACAATATGAAAGCTACATGTTTAAGGCAGAAGAAGATGGAACCTGAATTAGGGCTATTTAAAAAAAGTTAATATGTATATTCTTAGTTGTTAAGTTGCTGCATTTATTTCCAGAGCCATATTGAAAAAAGAGTTCCATACTTTGATGAAAGGGAAACGAGGAAATGTTTCTTCATATGCAAATATCATGATGGAGCTGAAGAAGTGTGCAAATCATGCCTATTTGGTGGCCCCGCAGCAGGAAGAGCCATTGGCTAAGGATCGCATAATGGTAGGCACATTGATCTATGTCCAACTTGATATGTTTGGTATAAATTTAATGCAAGGTCAGAGCACTTGTGTATATAGGTCATTCAACTTGCACTGATAGACGTGCTCACTTGTACTTCTCATAATCACCTCCGACTCGATGAGCTTGATAAGTACTGGGAGTTATGAGTGCTGTCACATAGTTCCTTATTGATACGCTCAAAGCACATTAACACTGCTATCACGGCCATGACGACAACACGAATAAACTATCACGAGAATGTCTGATGTAGTTACAACATTTTGAGCTCTGTTACTTTTAACTTTATTATTCTATCATTTCTACATGGTTCTAAATAATTCAACATATTATCTAACTCTATCTAACCCAATAACTCAAGGTTAACTGTGCAAAGACGGTCTACACAATCTTTACCAAAAGCCACCAATTAGCAAGGAAGAATATTAATCTGAGGTTAGCAAACACCAAGTGATGAAAGAAGAGCATCCCACATACCTTGGAGTCACACTTGACCGGCAGCTCAGCCTCAAGAACCATATTAAAAACGTCAGGAATAAGACATTGAGGCGGTTACAGTTATTAAAGAGACTTGCAGGTACATTATGGGGATCAGACAAGGAAACTCTAAGGGGCTTATATCTAGGATATGTTCGCTCTGTGATAGAGTACAACAACTCACTGCTTACAACTTGCTGCAAAACTAACCTAGAGACTCTTGACAGAGTACAAAATAATGCCCTCTGATTAATCTGCGGAGCTATGCAGTCTACACCAACTGCTGCATGTGAAATCCATAAAAATGTGGAACCCCTCGGGTTGCGGAGAGAAAAAGCCACTTTAGAAGTTTATGAAAGATGCGTTAGAAAAAATCGTAACCATCCTAATAGACATCTTGTAGAAAACTGGGAATACAAAGGATAAAGCACAAATCGGTTTTACACTGTGTTAATGAAATTCAGGACAGATACCACCTCCCAGAAAGACGTCAAGGAATTCAGAATGTTGCAAGAAACCTACCACCACATGCTCGCTTTAAATAAAGCTCCAGAAGTCCGAATTAAATTGGTAGGTGAGGAAACCAAACAGTCCGACCCCCATCGCTCTTATGAACTCATCGCTAAAGACCATTGATTATTACCCCCAAGAATGGATACATGTCTATACTGATGGATCAGCATTTAAAGCTACCATTAAAGCAGGTTACGAAATCTACATAGGTTATCCTGATGGATATGTTGAAGAGATTTTTGATGCATGCGGCGAATTCTGTTCAAATTATGAAGCTGAAATAATTGCACTGGAAACAGCAGTATACCACCTAAAGACTGTAATGGATGTTTACCCTTCAAAGGTCCATGTCTATACTGATGGATCAGCATTTAAAGCTACCATTAAAGCAGGTTACGGAATCTACATAGGTTATCCCGATGGATCTGTTAAAGAGATTTTTGATGCATGCGGGGAATTCTGTTAAAACTATGAAGCTGAAATAATTGCACTGGAAACAGCAGTATACCACCTAAATACTGTAATGGATGTTTACCCTTCAAAGGTCCAAAATATTGTCATCTTCACAGATTCACTGTCTGCCCTTCAAGCTCTGGAGGGCAGTGAACGCTGCAGAACTGATATAGTCAAGATAATCCTGGATGCTGATCAGCTTATTACCTCATACAACATCAGAATAGTGATGCAGTGGATCCCAGGTCACTCCGGCACACCAGGTAATGACAGAGCTGACAGATTGGCAAAGAAAGGAGCAACACAAGAACAACCACCTACAGCGACAACCCTCCAGACAGCCAAAACACTGATAAGAGCTATAAACAAAGAGACTTGGTTGAACAGATGGGCCATGGGAGACACTGGAAGAGAGGTTTATAGACATATGTCTGGCCCTGATCCTAATGACAGCATTAACCATCTAACAAGAAGGGACCAGGCCACCATCTTCAGACTTAGAACGCAACATACTCCACTCAATGGACATCTAAACAGAATACAGCCACAACACTTCCCAAAGTGCCAGCTATGTAACTACCCCTACAAAACTGTTGAACACCATCTCTTTGAGTGCCCAAAACTCAGTGAGACAAGAAGGACGCTACTCCCTCAGAGACCAGACAAGTGGAACACCTTGTACGGAGGAAAAGAACAGCTTGTGAAAACATGCAAATTCCACTACATGGCATTGGGCGAAAGGGCGAAAGCTCATGCGCCGCTGGATCGATAACAACAACAACAACCCAGTAACTGAAACCACTATTCATGCGGCATGACCACACGACAGTTGTCCAGACCGCCGGCTTGGACGTCCGGTCGACAACTGTCCCCAGCCGGTTCACAAACCGAGCTCACTTTTCCTTACTTCAAGCCTCTGTGGCTTGTGTGCACATCATGACAGTAACAGGTTTAGTGCTTTGACAGCAGTCCTACATTCCCCCTAACTCCACCCCCACCCCGATCATGACATATATGTTGGGCAAAGACTGAGAGGAAGTTGTTGATATGGCAGGCTGACGGAAGAGGCTGCTGACCACACTTAATGATGATGCGCAGTGCGGCATCATCTCAACTGGATGAAAAGAGACCCCAGAAGGTCAAGACTAGGTAGCATCAACCCATATTCAGAAATATCCAGATGAAGCCTTGGTGTTGTAATGTAGCCGTGGACGGTCCCAAAACATCGTAAGGTGGCAGCTGCACAATGTTCGAAGCCAGGACCATTGTGAGGCAGGTTTAGTCATGGCACTTTATGTCTCTGACCATGATTGTATATTATGATTGCAGACTTTACTTAAAGGCAGTGGTAAACTGCTTCTGTTGGACAAACTGTTGGTGAGGCTCAGGGAGACAGGACACAGGGTACTCATCTTCTCTCAGATGGTTAGAATGTTGGACATCATTGCTGAGTACTTGCAGTGTAGACATTTTCCTTACCAGGTGGGTGTTCATCATTGTGTCTATTATATGTTATTGCCCGTTGTTTGCCATAAGGTTTTCGGATTATATACACATTTTCCAAACAGCCCATCAGCAACACCATGCTGCAGCTTGGTTTTGGTCTTATTCTTAGTTGCCTTAGTGATTGTGAACACTTAACAAAAAGTAAAAGTAAAGTTTTTGTTCTTTGAACCACATCGGGCATATTACGCAGACCCAATTTTGTGTGGTTGTTGGTTAGTTTGCATGAAGAGGGAGGTTTATCAAATGTTCACGATATATTAATTTTTTTTAGATGCCTATTTCTAGTGTTGGCTTAAAAAGGAGAGTGTGAGTGTCACTTGCAATGCAATACAGACTGTTTTGTGCTTTACACTTGGCATTATTAGAGCACATGTTCTAATCTTTTTGCACCGAGGCACTAATAATGTGGCATTGCTATCTATTACAAATCTCCTTGTGTGGCATTAAGCTGGCATTGGTGCATATGCCCTTACGGACAAGCCTGGTTAACGCCATTGGTTCTGTTTTTGCCTGCACAGTGTTTGGGAAGACCGGGTATGATCATGTATACTAAATAAAGCATGGGGGGGGGGGGGGGGGGGCAGTTTTTTAAATAACTATTATGATGTCATAGTTGGCCATTGGACAATGTGCACAGTGACAGTTAGTCACCCAGTATATTCCTTCTGGCCTAGGAAATGATTTTTGATTTAATTGATTCCTCTGTGTGTAATTTTTTTTAATGGTTCTCTTCATATATTTCTTAAAAAAAAGAGAGAGAGAGAGAGTGTGCGTGTGCATTTTATGTGTGTGTGTGTGTGTGTGTGCGTGTGCATTTTATGTGTGTGTGTGTGTGTGTGTGTGTGTGCGCGCGCGCGTGCGCGTGCGTGCGTGCGTGCGTGCGTGCGTGCGTGTGTGTGTGTGTGAATTTTAAAAACACTTTTGGTGGTTTAAATAAGCTTTTCTTCAAAGGGTTGGGGGGGGGGGGGGTGTCTGGAGTTTTGGGTCTTTCCCCCCAAAAGGATTCCGGGGTGAAAGAGTTAAGCTCTAATGTTTATATTTGTTTCTTTCATTGTTGTAAACAATTACATTAAACAATTACATTATGATTTGTATACCGAAATATAAAAAAATTAAAGTGTCAGTGTATAGTAAAATGTACTGAATTACTTTTTCAGAGGTTGGATGGAACCATCAGGGGAGACTTGAGAAAGCAAGCGTTAGATCATTTTAATGCTGAAGGTTCTCAGGTAAGTTGTAGCATCAGCCTTGCGTTGTGGGACCTTGGTTAAGTGTGGTTAGAATGTGATGTCTACTTTTCCTGCAAATATGAGGGCTTTCTGGGTTACTTGGAGACTAGTGAATGTGTTAAATAGTTTCATGATCCTCCAGTAATGAGGTTTGATTTAAATTGTGGATTGTTCATTTGAAGAAGAAAAAAAAAACTTTTTGGGTTTTGGACAGTAATACGAGAGTCACACCATGGAAGAGATTGGGTCATTACCAAATAATATTCCCAAAGACTGCAGTGCATGCTCTGTAGCCAACCTTCATTGTGGAGACAGCACATCATTTCTTTGTGTTTATGCATGGCTGTGGGAAGCTGTTTAATCAAAATGGCTAGAGGCTTGCTTGCCAGTCTAAAGGTCTTGTATTCAAATCTGCTGAAGGCAGATTTTAAAAATTTACCCTAGGGCTTGCTGGCTGACCCAGCCCCAAATGATTAGATAGGAAAGTCCAGAGAAATTAAACGGCCAGAAATGCTGACTACATTATTTATCGGGAGCAATGTAGAATTATCAGTCTAGCACCATATACTTCACGTGCCAATAGCACTTTACTTTTTCAAGCGTGGCTGTGTGTGTAGACGCACTTTACTTTTTTATGCATGGCTGTGGGTATAGATTTTGCGTTGTATATCTGGGCTTAGGAGTGGGTGATGTAAAACATTAGAGTTATTAATCGAAGGCTATTGTACGAAGTAACTCACAGCAGCTGGCAGTATAATTAATTAACTTTTGACTGAGATCATTTTATTCATTACAGTAGCATGAAAACACACCATATTAATTGGAATTAAGGGCTGCAGAAGTGCTGAACCGCAGAGGGGTACACTCAGGCTCATCATACTGACCAAGACCTATACAGACCTCTCTCCACTGTCTTTATTGGATCAGGTTTCTGACCGAGAGTGTGGCCAACATAGATAGTATCGACATTTCCTTCAAAGACAGATCGCACAACATTCAATTCCTGGAAGCAGACTCAAGCAATAATGAAGATTTATAAATCATAGAGGATGATAAACAAAAATAGGTAAAGATTGCTATAGCCCAGGGTTTGGCAATTTTGTAATAGTGGTGTAGCTGAAGTAATGTTGCCAAGTCACTCAGCTTGAAAACCTAAATTCACTGTATTTTTATATTCAACTATTGAAATAAAATAATTTATTCTTTAAAAGATTTATCTACACCTGTTTAGTCTTATTTTTTCCACTGAATCATTCCACGTGGTGCATGCACGGTAGGTTGCTGAGACCTGTCAAAGACAGTCTGAAATCTAGCTTTGGAATTTATTTGAAAGCTTTACAATAAAAGTAGCAGTGCACTGAGCTTCTTTAATTTGTATGACTTGGTTGTGTTTTTCTCTGTAGGATTTCTGCTTTTTACTTTCTACTCGAGCTGGTGGTCTGGGTGTGAACCTGGCCACAGCAGACACTGTGATCATATTTGACAGTGATTGGAACCCACAGAACGATCTGCAAGCCCAGGCTAGAGCTCATCGAATTGGGCAAACAAAACAGGTAGGTTTACATGTGCATTCACTCTTTTCGTAACCACTGTTAATTACCTTAACTTTATTCCTATACCTAAAGGCCCGTTGTTTAAAGCAGCTAAAATTTGAAAATAAATAAGTTAAAATAACAATTCTTTTTTGAGACAGAAGGTACCAGACAACTAACAATTCTAATTGAACTAGAATTGAGATAGAAGGTAAAAAAAAACTGTGTACTTTTCTACTGACCATTTAATGTTTAGGTTTAGACGACGAATCAACATCAAGGCACAAGGGTAGTGATCCATAAGTGCTCCGCTCTACTTCTTACTCAAGCCTGGGTCCTAAGAATCTCAGCGCAGTGCATGAACTCCGTAGCACCGGCGAGGATCCTGAATTACTTTAGGTAGATTAACTCTAAATTTTGCCCCCAAACTATTGAATGTTTAGTGAGAACCAAAAGTGTTAATACTGGGCTGATTGTTTTACAGACTTTTTTAAACATTTAAGTACATTTATTAATTAAAGTGTGTTTGAATTGGTAATTTTGGCTGGTTTAATTTTTGAATTCTTCACATATTTCTCATAGCTTTTTTGTGTGTGTAAGAGAATGTGTGATAAGGACAGTGTCCCAGCCATCTGGAATTTGGTGGGACTCATTGGTCAGGATATTGGCCCACTGTGAAAGGTCATGTGTTCTTTTCATGAATTTATCGTTCAGTTCATGGGCACGGTTTTTAAAGAGATCCCAGGCCAGGGAATCATTTGCAGAGCTATGCAGTTTATGCTTTGTGCGACATTTTTGGAGGGCAGCCAGTCATTCTTCAAAGATAGACCAGGCTATAGGTGATAATCTGGTGAAATGAAGTGGGTCCTCTTAACTTTAACCTGTAGTGTGACAGAGCTGTTCAGCTGAGTTGATTCAGGGGCCACAATTTTGAAAAAGAGGACCTCACGGGCCAGAGTTTTGAGCTCCCAGCACAGAAAGATCATTAACACAATTGCAGCTGTCCAGACTTGAAAAGGACATTGTTTCTTTAGACTGATTACAATGTGTATTTACAGGTCAGCGTCTATCGGTTAGTAACAAGCTCAACTGTTGAGGAAAAGATTGTGGAAAGTGCAAAGAAGAAAATGGTGCTGGACCACTTGGTTATTCAGAGGATGGACACTACGGGTAGAACAGTGTTGGATAACGGAGCTGCACCATCGAGGTACTTAATTATATTTCATACTCATTGACTTTAGATCATAAAACTGCTGTGTTTAAGGACGGGCATATTTTGTTTAAAAAGAGCTGCCGTGGTGTAACAGCTTGACACCTGCCGTCGGATCCGAAGGTTGGGGGTTTGACCTTGGTGACGTCTGACTTTTGGCTCCCCAAAAAAATAAAGAAATATAAATGGAGGGAGTAATCAGTGAACAAGAACAGAGTGAAGCGTTAAATGGAATGCATTCCCTAGGGTCTATCACCAGTGTGTCACTGATGCTGTGACATCACTAAAGCTGACGGTATTATTTTTTCTCTCTCGTCAACCTGCCGTTAAAAAAGCAATTTGATTAGCAGTGAAACTGCAAGAAAGCCACATTGTGTTAATAAGTTGTTGTTGTTATCGATCCAGCGGCGCGTGAGCTTTCGCCCTTTGGCCCAATGCCATGTAGTGGAATTTGCATGTTTTCACAAGCTGTTCTTTTCCTCCGTACAAGGTGTTCCACTTGTCTGGTCTCGGAGGGAGTAGCGTTCTTCTTGTCTCACTGAGTTTTGGGCACTCAAAGAGATGGTGTTCAACAGTTTCGTAGGGGTAGTTACATAGCTGGCACTCTGGGGAGTGTTGTGGCTGTATTCTGTTTAGATGTCCATTGAGTGGAGGAGTATGTTGCGTTCTAAGTCTGAAGATGGTGGCCTGGTCTCTTCTTGTTAGATGGTTAATGCTGTCATTAGGATCAGGGCCAGACATATGTCTATAAACCTCTCTTCCAGTGTCTCCCATGGCCCATCTGTTCAACCAAGTCTCTTTGTTTATAGCTCTTATCAGTGTTTTTGCTGTCTGGAGGGTTGTCGCTGTAGGTGGTTGTTCTTGTGTTGCTCCTTTCTTTGCCAATCTGTCAGCTCTGTCATTACCTGGTGTGCCGGAGTGACCTGGAATCCACTGCATCACTATTCTGATGTTGTATGAGGTAATAAGCTGATCAGCATCCAGGATTATCTTGGCTATGTCAGTTCTGACGCGTTCACTGCCCTCCAGAGCTTGAAGGGCAGACATTGAATCTGTGAAGATGACAATATTTTGGACCTTCGAAGGGTAAACATCCATTACAGTCATTAGGTGGTATACTGCTGTTTCCAGTGCAATTATTTCAGCTTCATAGTTTGAACGTGTTAATAAGAAGACCACATCAACCATTGGGTACAGATTTGTCTTAAAAAATATAAGTCCTTTACCTTCTTTTTTTGCTTTCACTGGTTGCAGTCTCCGGAGAAAGCTCTGGTTTTGTTGTACGTCTTGGACCATCCATCTCTTGTTCCATTACTTGAGTTTTGCTTTATTTATATGCATACTGTTGGTTCCTAGCCTCTCAGGCAGATGCACACTGACTTAGAAGGAAACCCTAATTAGTTGTCTTTCATGGCTTGCTTGTTAGGCAGCTAGAATATTTTGGTTCGCCCCACATTGGGGAAAATTACTCTCGAGTAATTTGTAGTAATTTCTGTATGCTGCTATTTAGAGACTAATTAGTGCTGGTCTGGTATTTTGCAGCACCGCAAGCACACCTTTCAGTAAGGAGGAACTATGTGCTATACTCAAGTTTGGAGCGGAAGAATTATTCAAAGAAAAAGATGGTGATGATGAGGAAGAACAACAGGTGAGTCCTTAAGTAAGTCTAAAACAATATACCAGCTGCTGGTCTGAAAAAATAATAGGTGAGCGAGTGAATAAACACCACTAGGACTGCACATTAAACGATCAACACCCTATGGTGCAAACTGCAAATTATCACTATTCGGATGAGAATCACCCAGGGACAGATGCTAGAAACCCCGTTCAACTGGGAAACACGATAGTTAACTTAACTTACCAAAGTACTTTAAGTCCAGATGGCATGGGGCATGGTCGAATTAACAGGTAATTTGACAGTAAATGGATTGAGGAAATGAGGATCTCAAAGAGCTCTGATGTAAATATTGATGAGAGCTGGACTACCTTTTTCTTCAATTCACCGGCTGTGAATTCCAGGGGAAAGTTCTGGATCGTCCATTTTCTGACTTTGTTTTTTTTTTTGGGTTCTAGAACTTGAGTTTTGCATGAGCATCCGCAGATATTACAGTTTAGCTGTAAATCATAACACAGCGTGCCACACCCCTTTAGGGTTTTAAAATAAAAAAAAGTGCTTTCTTCCATTGTCAGTTTAGTTCCTGTTATTTATTTTTATATATGATTTATTTGTTGCTGTCTTAAGTTCATATAGAAGACATCTTAAATTGAAAGATGCAGATATTACAGCCTAGCTGTAAACCACAAGAATATGCCAACTGTCTTTTTGAGGTCGAATACAGATGTTCTTTCTTCCAGTTTCATTTAGTTCTGTTCTTTATTGTCTCATGTATCTTTTTGCGATTACCTTAGGTTGACATTGACGACATCTTGAATCGAGCAGAAGAACACGAGACTGAAGTTAATGGTGTTGGAAATGAACTCTTGTCTCAGTTCAAGGTTGCCAGTTTTGGAAATTTGGAGGAGGAAACAGAAGCATCAAGAGCCAGTTTTGGCGAAGAAGGTATTTATTTGGCATGCCAGTTTGTTTCATTTAATGAGAATTGATTCATTGTCAGTCAGCAGGTCCTTTACAGAACATCGCTCTCTAACCAGTACTCCAGCCCAATGTGCTTTCATAGCCAATGCATCTTCAGTGTCTTGTATCCCCTTCCCTCAGGTCTGCCTATGCCTCATCTTCCAGAAACTATACCCTCCATCACTGATCTTTTCAGGCCATCATTACGTTTAACATGTCCAAAATACCCAGCTTTTGGGATCGGATGCTATTTATGAGCCAATTGTCCTTGAAGCTGAGATTGTGTACTATGTGGGTGTTTCTCTTCTTCTTGGTACATGAAATTCTCAGTACTGATTACTTGGAGCTAAAATATGGTTCATGTTTTTAGCAACTTTTTTCTTCTTCTTCTACTGTTTTCACTCCTAAAAGGGCAGCTGGCATGTTGTTTTGTGGGTTACAGCTAGGCTGCAGTAACGGCACTTTTCAGCCAAGTAAAATAAATAAGTAAAGGTCCCTTTTCCACACATTTAGGCGTATCAGAAATATAGGTCAAGACCTATATTTTTATATATCAATCGGCACAAGATGGGTGATGTGGTCAGCATCACGCCGTCCACCTTTACTTTCTGGGACTGCAACTGGTACCCACTCAGAGCTGGGTAGACTTGGGAGTCGAGGTCATATTTGAAAAAGTCCTGCAGAGAGCGAACACATAACCTTCCGATCTGCACGGCCACATCAAGCCGCTCGCCACGGCGATTCCCACTTTTCAGCCAAGCAAATCCAAATTCAGCACACTCTTAAATGGTTACCTCATGCTTGTTAAGGGGGCACTGGGTATATTTTTCTTCCCTAGAAATTGAGCTCTGGGAACTTTAACAGGAATTTTTTTTTCCTAAGTTTTATTGTTGGTAATTTTTTGCTTGACTAGAAGTAGAAACAGGGCTAGAAGTAAGCTGGTAGCACTTGAGCCCTTGACCTTGCGGTCACGAGTATGTACTCTTCCCTGTATGGGTTTCGCGACCTCTTTGTGAAATAAAAAAACAAAAGAATATACCCATTGCCCCCCCTAGTAAGCATGTTATGAAAATTGACCATTTAGGGTTGTTTCCTCCAGAGTTGGAGGAACCAGCATATCAGTAAGATAAACTTTTAAAATGGATGTGCACCATGGACCAAGAAAAGAAATATTAGTAGCCTAAAAGATCTTAACATCAAAGAAGATCAGCTCATAAACAGCATCTTGTCTCAGAAATTGAAATATTTTGTCTATACAAAGCGCTACAGTGGATTGGAGAAAAACGGTAAGGAGGGGAAGAGGGACAGGTTCAGACCAGCATAAAGAGTAGCACAGGATATAAGAGACACCTTGGGTAGGAAAGTGTGAGTTGGGAACTCTGGTGAGAGACCAGGTTTCTTTTAGTCTGGCTGTGTTGTGCTCAACTTTCTTTAAAAGACTTCCTACATGATAATGATGGGCTGTTATATCTTGCAATTGTGTATTGAAGGTTATATAGAGACATGAATAGTTCTGATTATTCTTCTTGTATGTTACCAGGTCAGGAGTATGTTTATTATTTATTTTTGTCAATCCCCAGAAGAAAAAGATTGGGAAGACATCATCCCAGAAAGTGTTAGACAAAAGATGGAAGAAGAAGAAAGGCAGCAACAGTTGTTAGATTTGGAACTTGGGCCACGAAATAGAAAAACTATCAAGCAGGTTGGTTACTGGTCCATTTTCACTGAAATTAGTCAAATGGTATTCATGTTCCAGTTCTCAGAACATTGCTATATTTAGCTAAAATATCTAGCTCAAATTGTCAGCAATATGAATTTCTTTTAGCCCTTTGTGTATCTTATGTAGTAGCAATAATAAATCATTAACAAATCTGTAATCTACTCTTCACATAATAATTATAAATGCCGTGACCTAAGGAGGGTGCCTGCCATCAAGGAGATGAATGGTGCTGTCAAGGAGATAAATGGTGTCAGCAGCCTCAGATGGAACATATGGCTATAATATTTATTCATCTCTTTCTTGGTCTTCCCTCGCCTTCCTCCCAGAAATTCTGCTGTACTTGTCTCATATGCAGTTTTTTCTGGCTGCATTCTCACTAGATGGTCGAACATTGAATTCTTTTCAAAATATTTCAGACATGGACTTAATCTAACTTTCTCTCTTATGCTGGTTTTAGTAACCCTGTTCCTTCTTGGGTTGCTAGTGACCTTGCGGAGAGGGCTGCCATCCTCTGTAAATTTGCTTCCTAGACATTTGAATTCTCGTACTTTTGATTGTAGTTTTTTGACATAAACATTCATATTATTATGATTCCTGTTTATTCTTGTTGCCTCAGTTTTGGGATGTTTATTCTCATATCATACCTTGTGGGATTTAAGGAGTCTGGCATTGTAAATTCTGTTTTTGGTAGTGTATTAGACATTGATCGTCTGCAAAAAGAAGTTCATTGATTTCTTTAGTGGCTGTATTTGCCTCCTGTGTAATTCTTTCCATGAAAGTAATGAACAACAATGGTGTGAGGACACATCCCTGTCTGGCACCTGATGAGATTGGAACCCAATATGTCATTCGTTATGTTGTTTTTACTGTGCACTATCTTGATAGAGACCATGATGTTGTTGATAGTTGATCTTGAATACCATAACTTTATACTAATTTTATTCTAGAAGAAGATGGGCTGGGTTGATCAGACAAAAATGGGTTGTATCACTAAACACATCACTGCCCGCTGGCCAAACCTTTCTTTTCGTCCTGGTTCATGCAGGTGTTCAAGACAATGTAAAGGCAGATTACCTGGTGTACACTGCTACTGCAATAACAGGCCAAGTACTGGACAGAAGCCATGTCATCAGTGACATTTGCTGCAAATAATGTGAAGATAAATCTGGCAAAAGATAGGACTCTGTACCCTATCCAGGCGATGGACATGAGAGAGCAACCTGGAGTTGCCAAAAAAAAAAAAAAAAAATTACCACAGGCACTAGATATAATTTGATCACTCAACACAGAACGGATGTTATTATTGTACGCTTGTGGAGCTATTTAAGAGGAGATCAGAGCACGTATGGATTGGTCCAGAGTTCTGATATGATCATCCTGACTAATCACTAATTATCAGGGTTCGTAGTGGACCGGGAAATCGGGAAATTACCGGGATTTTTTTCGTTGACCTTGAACCGTGATTTTTAGCTTATAAAAGACATTCCGACCTTGAAAAGCCGTGAATTTTGACCGCGGGGCAATGAAATCGTCAGAAATCCTGTGTTTTTCAGCACAGGCAATTTTGGGCTTTTTTAGCTAGTTTTTGGCTACTTTCATTGTATGGTCGTTTCAGGTGTGAGGGCAGCTGATTATTGGCTATTTTCAGCCAAAATGGCTTGTTAAAGGCCAGGGGAGGGCGGGCTGTGTTGCAGATCATGAATACATGCAGACAGCAGCGGTGTGGCATGGGGCGGGAAGTGGCAGCTTCAGTCTCGCGCGCGCGTGTGTGTGTGTGCCTTTGTTTCTAGCCAGTCGGGCAGAATGAACAGTATAAATCGTTTATGGCCGTGGTTTCTAGAAAGGATTACATTGGGAGATGGTGGGGCTCGGTTTAGTTGTATTTATAAATAGAGTCGCCGTGGTGGGGGCTAAGCACGGCCTTCTCTATTAATTAGAGATGGCATTGGGGCTAAGCAAAGTGACTGCAGCTGGATTTCCCAGTTCTATTTTTGGCCTGGATTTATCTTTACAGTGTGTTTGGCAATCAGTATTGTAATTCCCCGAGATTCCCTCTTCTGTTGTCTCACCCCTCTCTCTCTCTTCCCTCCCTCTTTCACTCTTCTACCTATTGCTCCTTCCTTCCCGTCTCCTGCATTGTCTCTAACCCTCCCTTCTGATCTTCATCTTCTTCTCTTTCTCTCTATCTTTCCTTTTACTCTCTCATTTCCTGTCCCCCTCCCCCTTTTTCCTATTTTATTTCTAGTTTAAATGTTTAGTAAATGTGCGGTGCCATAACTCTTCCTAGCAATTCAAGTACACAGGAAGTAGTATTGGGGGGGGGGGCATTCTGTGTGAACATGGTGGATATTTTCTTTTGATGTGTTTGTTTTCCTAGTGGCCTTAATCTCTGTCCATCTCCCTTCCCGCCCCTTCACATTTTGTCTTACCTGTTCCTTACTCTCTGCCTGTCTGTGTCACTGCTTTCCTCTCTCTCTTTCTCTTTGTATTTGCCACTCTCCCTCTCTCTCTCTCTCTCTCTCTCTCTCTCTCTCTCTCTCTCTCTCTCTCTCTCTCTCTCTCTCTCTCTCTCTCTCTCTCTCTCTCTCTCTCTCTCTCTCTCTCTCTCTCTCTCTCTCTCTCTCTCTCTCTCTCTCTCCAAACCTTCAGTTGGTGTAGAAGGTTATGTGTTGCCTAGTGCAGAACATTTCATGTCCACCATTCCCCCCTCCCACACATTAAATATATGTGTACTTTTAAAAACACATTTGCCGTCACCCCCCCCCCCCCCCTTCCCCCCACTTTCTCCTCCCACATTGGTGACACCTAAGGGAGGGAGTGCACCCCTTCCTGCTACCTTCTTCCCTCTATATCTCATCTTATTTCTTACTCCCTTCTTTCTCTCCCTGCCTCAGTCCCCACTTTATTTTCTTAAACTTTATTCTCTCACCTCCTCTGTCTCACCCTTACCACCTCAGCTTTCTACACCACTTTCCACCACCTCCTCTCTCCCCTCCTTTCTGTAATTGGAAAACCAGAAATAAAAGGAAGTCCACTGCTGCCCTGACCTATTTATGTGTCTGACCTATTTATGTGTGTGGGTAAACTTCTCTATTTTCCACCAGTGGTGGGTTGGGATCTCCTGGACTTTTTTCTTCTTCATAAAATGACCTTGGCTCTCAGGTCACCAGCCTTAAGTGTAAGAAATTGAATTATTGTTGTCACACAGATAGGACAAGCAAGGGGCAGTAGGGGTTAGCACTGTTGTTTTTGGACCACGGCCACATTCACATTGGGAGAGGGTAGGAACCGGAAAAGTGGCCTCACTTAGAGATTTCCTAATTCTATTTTTGGCACTCATTGTTCTTACACCCACCCCACCCCCCACAACCGTGTCTTACCTTTCTTCTCTCACCCCTTCTCTTTCCTTTGATCTTCTACTATTCTCCTATCTCTCTCCATTCTTCCTCTCTTCCTTTCCTTGCCCTTTCTCCTGTCCCATCTCTTTTTTGTCTCCTCTCCATCCTGTCTTTTCATTTTCTCTAGATTTCCTTACCCGCTCCCCTCTCTCATTCTCTCCCCCCCCCCCCATTTTTTTTACTGGTTCATCTACATATTTTTTTGCCCCACAACTATCTTTTCCTAGTGGTTGTGTCCACTACACTTGAAACTGTGTGTGTGTGTGTGTGGGGGGGGGGGGGCTGTTTTTTTTTCTTTGATGGATCTTGTCTCCCTTCCTGCCCCTCTCTCTTAATCTGTGTTTGTCACTGCCTTCCTTACCCACCTCTCTCTCTCTTGCTTTATGTCTGTTTGCCTCCCTTCATCACTTCCTCTTTGTATACCTCCCTCCCATTCTCCTGCTCTGCCTTTTTTCTCTTTCTTTGGTTCTCTCCCTCTGTCTGCTTGCCTCTCTGTGCTGTCCCTTTGTCTCTCTCTCCTTTATGTCTACATCTCTCTCTGCTTGCATCTGCTTCTCACCCTGTCCGTTCTCTCTCCCTCTGTCTCCCTTCTTTAAACTCTTTGTCATATTTTCCTCCTTCCATATCTCTGTTTCGTTCCCTTTTTCCTTCTCTTTTCATCTGCCCATCTCTGTATCTGCATTCCCTCTTTCTGTATTTGTCTCCCTCTCTGTCTTTCGCTGTCCCTTCCCCACTTTTCCTCATCATGTCTCCATCCCTCCCTCTCATTTTTTCCTCCTTCCCCAGACTTCTTTTCCTTCTTTTCTCTACCCTCATCTGTCCATCTTTACACTGTCTCTCCCAGCCTACCTCAGCATGTGTCTTCCTCTCTCTTCATGACTCTCTCTCTCTCCCCCCTAACCCTCTCAGGTACCAGGTCCAGAACAGACAGAACTCCTTGAGTATAAAAAAGTACATGAGACGGGAGAGCTGGTGAGAGACCGAGTTTTTTTTGTCAGGACAAAGGAAATGCTACATGATGATGATATCTGTGCTGGTATACCAACACATGTGGCACAAATGAAGTACCTTGTGTGCTCAGTACACCCTTGAACAAGGCAAAAATCTTGTTTCAGTATTACACCGAGACAACCTTGAAAAAAACTAAGGAGACCTTGAAAAAGACCTTGAAAAGCCTTGAAATTAATTGGTAAATTTTGCTATGAACCCTGAATTATCCTTTTCTCCCATCTTCTGTGTGTTGACCAGCTGTGAACTCTAGCAGAAAGTCCTTCTGGACTATTAGTCTTGTTCCAGAACTTGAGTTATGTGTGCACATCCATTTTACAGATCTGGCTTATCTGTAAACAGACTGTTGGTTCCTTGTCTCTTAGGCAGATGCACTCCGACTTTGAAGGAAACACTCCTTAGTCGACTTTTATGACATCCTTACTTGCTACTTTATCTTCTAGGGCATTCTTCTTTGACTCATGAAAAGCAATGATCACCTGGGGTTATGGAATAGAAAATACTGTGAAATAATGACCCTAATCAAGGTACAAATCAGCTGTTGACTGTCTATTGTCTGGAAGAGTCTTGCGGTAGCTGTTTTATGAGTTATGTGGCATAAAACTTTGTGCAATGAAGTGGATCCTTTTGCCTTCACATGCCTTTTCTTCTTCACGTTCACCGGCTGTAAACTGCGGTGGAAAGTTCTGGATGTTCGTCCACCTCTAGACTTTACTCTTGTTCCAGAAACTGAGTGTTGCACGCACATCTGTTTAATAGATCTTACTTATTTGTATGCAAATTGTTGGTTCCTTGCCTCTCAGGCAGATGCACTCCTACCTCGAAGGAAGACCCCAATTAGTCAACTCCTATGACATGCTTTTTGGGGTGACAGTGGGTCTGTTCTTGTTTTCCTCACAATGGGCCCTGGAACCCACGTGGGGAGCACACACCCTTTTAAAGAATATGTGAATTATTTTGTGTGTTTGTTTTCAGCTGCACGTCGACTATGATTCTGACAAAGATAATAAGAAAACCAGACGGAAAAAGCAGTCAGACTCTGATGCTAGCGATGAGGAAGAGGATGACGATGACGATGACCAACCAAGAAAAAGGGGCAGGCCTAAAGGAAATGCAAAAGACGGTGTGAAAGGGTTCTCAAATGCTGAAATACGGCGCTTTGTTAAAAGCATAAAAAAATTTGCAGCTCCATTAAAGAGGTAAGGAAACATAAATTTAAATACAGTAAAATGATGTTAATCTGAACTCACTTAAGATTAGAAAGCTGTTAACTTGATTGACATTTTGCTTTCAGCAGGCATGTTTTACTGTTTTTAGTGCACAGTTAGGACACATTTCCCCCTGACCATAAGCTCGATTCTCGGTTTCTTTTTAATTTATTTTATTAATTTATTTTCTTCTGGAATTAAAACATTGTTTTGCACTTCATTTGTGATGCGAAAATGTTGTGGTCTTCATTTGTAGAATGAAAACATTGTAGTGCACTTCATTTGTGAAGCGAAAATGTTGTTTTTCTTCATATGTAGAAGGAAAGCATTGTAGTGCACTTCATTTGTGAAGCGAAAGCGTTGTGTTGTACTTCATTTGTGGAATTAAAACATAGTATTGCACTTCCTTTGTGTAGTAAAAATGTTTAGTTGTAAAAATTTTTTTTTAGTGTTGTGCACTTTATTTGTGAAGTGAAAATGTTGTGTTGTACTTCATTTGTAGAATGAAAACTGTAGTGCACTTTTTGTGTGCAGTGGAAGTGTTGTACTTAATTTGTAGAATGAAAACATTGTATTCCACTTTATTTGTGAGGTGAAAACTTTGTTGCATCCTGTTGTAAAACCATTGCTCTATAATAGAGTCACAAGGTGGTTGCAAAATACCTGATTATGCATAAACAGCTGAAACGATTGAAGATAATATGAGTACATATGTAATGCATATATCATTTTCCTCAGACTTGATGCAATAGCAGAAGATGCTGAGCTACAGGAAAAGAGTGAAGCAGATTTACGGAGGCTGGCAGAATATCTCAGGCGTGCCTGCGAGGATGCCCTAAAAGAACATAGTCAGAAACTGCAGGAAAACCTGGCCCCTGAAGGTAATTATATATTATTGTATCTCCATTTTTAACTTTCCAAACCTTTGAAATGTATCAGATAGTTTTATTTCCACTTTCTTGTTTCCATATTTTGCAAGCTGGCAGTTATTCTCTTAAAACTCCCTCCCTAAAAGGAAAAAATATGTATTAATCAGGGTTCGTAGTGGACTGGGAAATCGGGAAATTACCGGGATATTTTTCGTTGACCTTAAACCGGGATTTTTAGCTTATAAAAGACATTCCAACCTTGAAAAGCCGTGAATTTTGACCGCGGCAATGAAATCGTCAGAAATCCTGTGTTTTTCAAGCACAGGCAATTTTGGGGGAGCCATTTGGCTTTTTTTGACCATTTGGCTAGTTTTTGGCTACTTTCGTTGTATGGTCGTTTCAGATGTGAGGGCAGCTGATTATTGGCTATTTTCAGCCGAAATGGCTTGTTAAAGGCCAGGGGAGGGCGGGCTTTGTTACACATCATGAATACATGCAGACAGCAGCAGTGTGGCATGGGGCGGGAAGTAGCAGATTCCGTCTCGCCTGTGTGTGTGTGTGCCTTTGTTTCTAGCAAGTCGGGCAGAATGAACAGTATAAATCGTTTATGGCGTGGTTTCTAGAAAGGATTACATTGGGAGATGGTGGGGCTCGGTTCAGTTGTATTTATAAATAGAGTCGCCGTGGTGGGGCTAAGCACGGCCTTCTCTATTAATTAGAGATGGCATTGGGGCTAAGAAAAGTGACTGCAGCTGGATTTCCCAGTTCTATTTTTGGCCTGGATTTATCTTTACAGTGTGTTTGGGGATCAGTAATGTAATTCCCTCTTCTGTTGTCTCACCCCTCTCTCTCTCTTCCCTCCCTCTTTCACTCTTCTACCTATTGCTCCTTCCTTCCCGTCTCCTGCATTGTCTCTAACCCTCCCTTCTGATCTTCATCTTCTTCTCCTTCTCTCTATCTTTCCTTTTACTCTCTCATTTCCTGTCCCCCCCTCCCCCTTTTTCCTATTTTATTTCTTGTTTAAATGTTTAGTAAATGTGCGGCTCCATAACTCTTCCTAACAACTCAAGTACACAGGAAGTTGTATTGGGGGGGGGGGGGGGGCCATTCTGTGTGAACATGGTGGATATTTTCTTTTGATGTGTTTGTTTTCCTAGCGGCCTTAATCTCTGTCCATCTCCCTTCCCGCCCCCTCACATTTTGTCCTACCTGTTCCTCACTCTCTGCCTGTCTGTGTCACTGCTTTCTTCTTTCTCTTTGTATTTTCCCTCCCTCTCTCTCTCTCCTCTCTCTCTCTCTCTCTCTCTCTCTCTCTCTCTCTCTCTCTCTCATACCTTCAGTTGGTGTAGAAGGTTATGTGTTGCCTAGTGCAGAACATTTTATGTCCACCATTCCCCCTCCCACACATTAAATATATGTGTACTTTTAAAAACACATTTGCCGTCACCCCCCCCCCCCCCTTTTCTCCTCCTCCCACATGATGACACCTAGGGGAGGGAGTGCACCCCTTCCTGCTACCTTCTTCCCTCTATATCTCATCTTATTTCTTACTCCCTTCTTTCTCTCCCTGTCTCATTCCCACTTTATTTTCTTAAACTTTATTCTCTCACCTCCTCTGTCTCACCCTTACCACCTCAGCCTTCTACACCACTTTCCACCACCTCCTCTCTCCCCTCCTTTCTGTAATTGGAAAACCAGAAATAAAACGAAGTCCACTGCTGCCCTGACCTATTTATGTGTCTGACCTATTTATGTGTGTGGGTAAACTTCTCTATTTTCCACCAGTGGTGGGTTGGGATCCCCTGGACTTTTTTTTTCTTCATAAAATGACCTTGGCTCTCAGGTCACCAGCCTTAAGTGTAAGAAATTGAATTATTGTTGTCACACACAGATAGGACAAGCAAGGGGCAGTAGGGGTTAGCACTGTTGTTTTTGGACCACGGCCACATTCACATTGGGAGAGGGTAGGAACCGGAAAAGTGGCCTCACTTAGAGATTTCCTAATTCTATTTTTGGCACTCATTGTTCTTACACCCCCACCCCCACAACCGTGTCTTACCTTTCTTCTCTCACCCCTTCTCTTTCCTTTGATCTTCTACTATTCTCCTTTCTCTCTCCATTCTTCCTCTCTTCCTTTCCTTGCCCTTTCTCCTGTCCCATCTCTTCTTTGTCTCCTCTCCATCCTGTCTTTTCATTTTCTCTAGATTTCCTTACCCGCTCCCCTCTCTCATTCTCTCCCCCCCCCCCCCCCATCATTTTTTTTTTACTGGTTCATCTACGTATTTTTTTGCCCCATACCTCTTTTCCTAGTGGTTGTGTCCACTACACTTGAAATTGTGTGTGTGTGGGGGGGGGGGGAGTAGGTGGCTGTTTTTTTCTTTGATGTATCTTGTCTCCCTTCCTGTCCCTCTCTCTTAATCTGTGTTTGTCACTGCCTTCCTTACCCACCTCTCTCTCTCTCTTGCTTTATGTCTGTTTGCCTCCCTTCATCACTTCCTCTTTGTATACCTCCCTCCCATTCTCCTGCTCTGCCTTTTTTCTCTTTCTTTGGTTCTCTCCCTCTGTCTGCTTGCCTCTCTGTGCTGTCCCTTTGTCTCTCTCTCTCCTTTATGTCTACATCTCTCTCTGCTTGCATCTGCTTCTCACCCTGTCCGTTCTCTCTCCCTCTGTCTCCCTTCTTTCAACTCTTTGTCATATTTTCCTCCTTCCATATCTCTATTTCGTTCCCTTTTCCTTCTCTTTTCATCTGCCCATCTCTGTATCTGCATTCCCTCTTTCTGTATTTTTTTCCCTCTCTGTCTTTCGCTGTTCCTTCCCTACTTTTCCTCATCATGTCTCCATCCCTCCCTCTCATTTTTTCCTCCTTCCCCAGACTTCTTTTCCTTCTTTTCTCTACCTTCATCTGTCCATCTTTACACTGTCTCTCCCAGCCTACCTCAGCATGTGTCTTCCTCTCTCTTCATGACTCTCTCTCTCTCCCCTAACCCTCTCAGGTACCAGGTCCAGAACAGACAGGACTTCAGTTTGCTGCCCTCTACCACCAAGCCCTAAAAAAAATTTCAAACACTATATCAAGCTCAGGGGCCGACCAGCACGAAGATGGGCACAGGATATAAGTGACTCCTTGAGTATAAAAAAAGTACTATGGGGCGGGAGATCTGGTGAGAGACCGAGGTTTTTTTGTCAGGACAAAGAAAATGCTACATGATGATGATATCTGTGCTGGTATACCAACACATGTGGCACAAATGAAGTACCTTGTGTGCTCAGTACACCCTTGAACAAGGCAAAAATCTTGTTTCAGTATTACACCGAGACAACCTTGAAAAAAACTAAGGAGACCTTAAAAAAGACCTTGAAAAGCCTTGAAATTGATTGGTAAATTTGGCTATGAACCCTGATTAATAATCCAAATTAGTGAGCAGTTTTGTTTTTTATGACAGTATGTTTTTTTTACTTGTTGATGCAGTTACTTCAGTGGTCACCTTTCTGAATCCAAGAGGTTATGTAGTAACTTCCCATGTTTGGTTGGAACACAAACCAAATTGTGCCAGAAAATGCTAAAGAAATCTGGCTTTTCTGGTGGCCACTTCCACTGTGGATTTATCTCTTTGAAACGCAACACTCACGATTTATCATATTCTTCTTCTTTTTCTGCAATTGGCACTGTGTGTTATCATGTGCATCTATGTTAAGTAAATTCTTAATTAGTTACCTTTTATGACATGCTTATTAACCCTCTTAGCACGGACGGGCCGATTATCGGCCGGCGGATGTCTGGCCAAAAACACGGAACGGCCGATGATCGGCCCGATCGTGTTTCGCCTCGAACCGCTAAGAAATCTCCTACTTTGAAACACTGAAAGTGATTCATTTATATTAACTGCGGTATCAGCTTTACACATGGTGACTTTCGAATGTTTGGTATCGAAGTGAAAATTATTGTTGAATTTTTTAGATAGTGACCTGAACCGCTAAAAGTATGTCTGACTCGTATGTTTCTGCCCCTAAACTTGATGTTGATAAAACATTTGAATCAAGTGATGACACTAATTCTGTTGATACTGATGCAGGATTTAGTGTTAGTAGTAATAGTGGGAATCAGATGGGGACGCTGTTGTGCTCAGACCACAGCCCAACCATGGCTCAGGGTATATCCACCCGAAGGTGTTGACACTCCGGCACATCCATTTCTAGTGCTAACTGATGGTGAAAAACACATGTCACCTAAAGATATTATTGCTGTTTCACATATATATATATACCTGTTTTTGACTATTGAATTGCTTACAACATTTGTAAAAAGGTCAAAGATCAATAAAAAGATTTCAAATAAAAAAAATTTTTGTTTTTAGTTTTATGTTTCAAGCATTGAAGTTGAAAATTCAAATTCATATTTTCTATTTTTAGATATGCAAATGAGATAATTTGCATATACATCAATTAATTTTAACGATATTGTGAAAATCACGAACTTCAATCTATATCCTTCAAATAGATATGTTATTTCATAGGGGTCAGAATAACAGAAATCTGTCAAAAAAATTAAATAAAGTAATAACCAAATTCACTGAAAAAATGCTCCGTGTTTTTGGCTAGACCTCTGAAAAACTTCCCGTGCTAAAAGGGTTAAGAAGCGGTGGGTCTATCCTTTTTACCCTAAAAATGAGCTCCAGAAACCTACACCAGGAATTTACCATTGTGATTATTTTCTCTAGATCAGCGCTTTTCACCCTGTGGGTAGCGACCCTTTTTTTGTGTTGGTCAAACGACTCTTTCACAGGGGTCACCAAAGACCACTGCAAAACACATATTCTTCTTCATCACGTTCACTGGCTGTAAACTCCTGCGGAAATTTCTGGTTGTTCGTCCACTTCTGGCCTCTAGCCCTGTTCCAGAAACTGAGTGTGGCAGGCACATTTGTTTTACAGGTCTTACTTGTTTGCACACAGACTGTTGGGAACTCTCAGGCAGATGTACTCTGACTTCGAAGGAAGCTTTCAATTAGTCGACTCCTATGACATGCTTTTGGGCAGGCAGTAAGTCTGTTCTTGTTTTCCTTAACAGTGGGGCCCTGGAACCGACACTTGGAATAACACATATTCACTGAAGTTATGAAGTAGCAACGAAAACATTTGTATGCTCGTTAGTTACATTTCTTTAACCTGACATGCCGTGGCAGTCTCTTCTCTTCAGATTGTTTTCTGCGGGAATAAAACCTTCCTTTTATTTAAAGTTTCACATTACATATCTTTTTATCATCATCAACTAGCCTCTTGGGAAACCAAAAACTACATACCTTTTTTAAACTTCCTTATGCATTTTCAAGTTCTTGTTTCTTGAATATATTTGTTTCCCCAAATGTAGCTTCAAAGAAGTCCTTTAAAGGTCCCTCATTCAAAATAGCCAGCATTATTATCAATGCACAGTCTATAATCAAAGCTGAGGAGGAGCTGAAGCCACTAGCAGATGCTATTCCAGAGGACAAAGAACAAAGAAAAAAGTGAGTTTCTTTATATTTTGGCTTTTGTATGTAAACCATGTTGTAGCTTATTACATATGAAATTATAGTATTGGACATGTGAGCATTATGTTGGCCACCTTTACTTTCTAAAATGTTATCAGGTTCACATTAGAGGATGCGTCAACTGGAGCTGATGTTGTAAATTAATATTTTTAAGTCAGCTTTTTTGCGTATTTGAAGTCTGAAAATCATGCTGCACAGTTGAAGGCCAAAAGTGCATCATTGAAGATTGTAAATGTAAAGAACTGAATTTTTACACCGAGCTGAAAAATTGGGATGAAGACAAGTAGAAACTACTTCCTGCAAAGGCTTACTGGCTGAGAATCTGAAAAAATGAAAATGTCATAGGAATAAGAGAACTAAGAATGATGTAGTTGAAAAAAAAAAAAAAGCATATTAAACATCAGTAGACTAAGGTTGATAAGTTTTGACTTACAATATCGAGCAACACCTAAGAGCTCTTCTTCTTGAATCCCAAGCACATTATGCATTCTCTGTTTTCAGCATTTGGTTGCAAAATGCTAAGAGAATTTGGCTTCCTTTTATGCACATCCACTGTGCAGTCAGCCTGTTTAAAAAAATGTCCTATTTATACTTCATACTGGTTCCGAAGACAGGTAGTACCAGCCACTGTTATACGGCAGATCAGTCATACCAGACTAAGACTGAAAGTCTGAAAACTATTTTTGCAGAGCAGACGAGGCCCTTAGCCTTAGCTGGTCAAGGGGGAAGCTCTGACAGGCAACTCTCAAATCCCTTTGGGAATCCCCTGCACACCTCGTTGGACTGAAAGAGTTCAGAACCCATGATTTGACCCTCAGTCCTTTGATGGCAAGTTCCTTTGGGGTTCCAGGGCGACTAATTTTGCTTGCTGCTTCTTCTTCTTCTCCTCCTCCTCCTCTTCATTTTCACCGGTTTTAAAACTAGTGAAAAAAACCAGATGTGTTGGGACAAATCGCTCAGATATCACAGCCCAGCTGTAAACAACAACACAACCTGCCAGTTGCCCCTTTTAGGGCAAATGCAGATGGAATAGAAGTTGGTAAGTGAAATTTGGTTGTCTTTACACTCTCAGGTGGCGCCTTGATCAGACAGTCAAGAAAGCTCACTGGGATTGCTTTTGGAACATTGATGATGACAGTGCCTTGCTAAAGGGGGTCTATGAATATGGCGTGGGAAACTGGGAAGCTGTCAAGATGGATGCAAGTCTGGGCTTGTCAGACCGGGTAGGTGTCAATGTTTGACTTACCTGTCGGTGAATATTTGTTCCAGCTGTTCTCCTGTGTGTTTATTTTATAGTTTAGCTATGGTGGTGTAGTGGTCAGTGTGCATGCCTGCCAAGACAGTGATTCAGGTTGAGTCCTCAGAACTGGTAGGATTTTTTTATGTCTAGTGTCATAAAAATGGATTCCAGATTATTGCCAGAATTGTCTGGAAAAATAGATGGCTAGGTAGTGATTTTGCTTTCCACCTGATGTAATGACTTTTAATGTGTAAAAGTCTAACATTTCATACTTCAGTGTCTGCTATGGAACTCCTTTTACCTTTTTAGAAGACAGCTTACCAATGTAAAGTGTTTTGTATTGTTTTTCCAGTTGGTAAGTTGTTTTTCTTCAAGTAGTTTTTAGTTATGTTTCAAGTCTTGGTCAGGTATGACTGATCTGCTGTTATAACAGGGGCTGGTACTATCTGTCTGTCTTCAGTTAACACTGAATGTTGGGCGGCATATACCAAATCTGACATCCCACATTGTGCCAATAGCTTTGGGCAGAGGAGCACATTGGGGAGAATACTAGTCATATACTAGGAAGAGGAAATGCAGTCTGAAAACTTTATTTTTGCAGAGCAGACGAGGCCCTTAACCTTGGCTGGCAGCTGGTCTAGCAGGGAAGCTCTGACAGGCAAACAGAGCATCACTCATCTGACAACTTTTGCAGTGTGCTTTATTCCAAACGTACTAGTGTTACCTTCACCTTTGGAGTGAACAAGGTAGGCCAAGAGATGGATCATGAAACATGGACAACATATGGTCTCTACAAAGCTGCCCAGTGCTCTGGAGAGGAGGCATCGTGGGCAGTGATTCCCATGCCTCCTCATAGAACTGTCATTTGGAAATACAGAAAGAGGCTAACAGCAGTTTTCAGTTATTTAATGCTGTTAGCAGCAGTATCACACTGGTAAGCCTGCTTGCCCGTTTGTCATAGGTTTGCATCCCAAACAATGGGCTCCAACATCAGTCCAGCATAAATGGATACCAGATGTCTTGGAAAGCAAAGGTAGAGGTCATAATGTCCATTATCATCTGCCAAGTAGTCTATAAAAATAGGAGGTTAGCACCATATGTCCAAAGCTCTCAAGCTTAAGTATAGAAGTGGGTCTTTTAAACAAAAAAATTTGGGGTGACTTTTCTATATAGAATTCTTCTTGTCTGTATAAAATGGCCCCCCAAAATACATATGTTATATCTATCCATTGTTTTGGTTTTGTCTACAGATTCTACCAGATGGTGAATTGAAACCACAGGCCAAGCACCTGCAAACACGGATTGATTACCTGCTGAAGTGTTTGAGAAAGGAAACAACTACAACCACAACCCCTAATGTGAGTAGTTAAACATCTCATAAGTAATAATTCATTTAATATTTCATTTACACTTCTAAAAAAAAAAAAGAATTCTTAGTCATGCCATTTAAACTGACTGATTTTAGTATAGTATGTAAGTTAAGTCAGTAAAGGCCTCTTTTTAAGGTTTGGCATATGATGCTACACACATTATTTATAGACCGACTAGACCCTGATGTGGCCAAACATCATGCCAGGTGAACGTATGGCCACTGTGCTACTGTGGCCTCCTGTCATAGGTAGTGTTTTTTTTTATTTTTATTTACACACTTTAAAAAAAAAAACACCTCGGCTGATTTCTTAATCTTGTATTCAAACTCTTTGGCCCTGCGATTGCTTAAAAAAAATGGTCATGGGTCTGTGGGAACCCTTAGAAACAAATTCTTAAAACACTGCCATTTTACACAGGTCACTAATAATTGTTTAAAAAATGTGTTTGTTCATTTTGAAATGTTATGTCAGAATGTATAAAGACATAAAAGGGGTAATCAGTAAATATGAACAAAGTGAATGATTAAATCAAATAATTAAGACAGGCCTTAAAAAACTCCCATATGTTCTAGACATGTCATGACCCTGTGACCTGTATCAATGGTGCTTTAAAAAAAAATGTGACCTTGTCTTTAAAAAAGTCGTTGGGGTCATAAAGGGAAGTCTTTTTTCTGTGTTGTTGATCAAATTTGATCAGAAAGAGAACTTGTAAAAATTGCTTATTGTTTATAACAGTTGCAGAGCTGTATCTATATGCCATTCAGCAACTGTTGAGTGTGTTATTGATGATTTAGTTTCACTTCTGCATGATACTGAGTATAATTCTCTTTCCAGAAATCTGCAAAGGGAAAAAAACGAACTCCAAAGTCAAAAGCAGAGGTTATTGATCGAGATGATTCCAGCAGCTCTGATGATGATGATGCTAAGGAGAAGAAGGTCTCTTCAACAGATCTTGCTGCAAAGAAGAAGCAGGTTGCTGCAGACAAGGAAGCAAAGAAGGAGAATGATTTATCAGACATTAGTGATATAGAGATGGACTCTGATGACTCCAGACTGAAGCCCAAAGGGAAAACGAAGAAAAAGAATGTCAAAGAGGAGAAAAAGGAAAAGCCTGTAAAAGGGAAAGCAAAAAATAAAAAGAAGGTAAGTAGATATGTTCATCTGTCTTGTAAAAAAAAATTTAAAAATCGTCACGCAGTCGACTGTGCACTGTTTTGCGCAAAGACTAGAGTAGTTTAAAAAAAAATTTTTTTTTAACAAGCTTGATGGTCAGCCTGGTAAAGTAGATTCCTTCTTCTTCTTCTTTGCATTTGGTTTCGTATGCTCAAATCAGACCATCAGGTGGGTTGCCTCTATGACCTCGCATGTCAGTAGTAGGTCCTTTATGGTTTCCTATAGCGTTCTCTGCACACTTTGCTCTTGAGGCCAGGTTTCTTTTCAAAGTTGTATGTAGAGTGGGCAGATCTGCAGAATGTGCTCAGGTGTTTGTGGTCCTGAATGACAGGCACACTGTGGGGACTGTACAGTCTTTTCTTTTATGCAAGTAGATGCCAGTTATTTCTCCTTTTCTTTTACTGCTAAGCCTCCTCCATGTGGGTTCCTGGCCCTATTGTAGGGAACACAAGAATGGACCCACTGCCTACCCAAAAAGCATGTCGTAAGAGCCGACCAATTGGGAGCTTTCTTCAAAGTCAGAGTGCATCTGCCGAAGAGGCAAGGAACCAACAGTTTGCATTCAAATCAGTCAGATCTGAATGTAAAATGGATGCACACGCAATACTCAGGTTCTGGAACAGGGCTACCTTCCCGAAATGGATTAACAACCAGATCTTTCCACCCGAGTTTACAGCTGGTGAACATAAGGATGTCGTTTGTCCTTCTCCTCCATCATATATAGCCACATAACACCTTAACTATCTTATCTACTGGCCTTTTGTAAATATGCTTTTTACAGGACAAGTAGGAGATGTACAGATTACAGAGAATTTTTTAAAGAGGAATTGTAACAAGTGATTTACAATTACAATAAAGCAGAACTGGGGGAAAAAGGGGGGGGGGGGTATGGGCTAGAATTTGGTGTAATGAATGATCTTTGAACAATTAAAGTAAAGTAAGAAAAGTAGACAGGAATTTGATTTCATGGATAGTTTTTTTTTTAAAATGTAATAATATACATGTATATCTTCTTCTTCTTCATGTTCACCAGCTGTAAATTACGGTAGAAAGTCCTGATTGTTCATCCACCTCTGGACTCTGATTGAACTCCATGACTTGAGTGTTAAACATATGTATGCATTTTTATAGATCTGGTTTTTGTGTGTGCAGAATGTTGGGTCCTCACATCTTAAGAAAATCTCTGTAAAGGAAACTGCGTTGGCTAACACACACACACACACACCCCCCCCCTGACTGGTTGGGAACCTGTTTTTAGGATGATCGGGAAAAGAGGTGTATGTAGATAGATCTTGACCAGTAAGAGCCCAAACTGTTGTACACCACTGAGTAATGCTCAGCACCCCTGCATCCCACATAATGAGTAAAACATTCGAGATGTCCTATGCAACATTCCCAAGCTGATAACATTGAAATAACTTTAGAAATGAAACTATGAAACTTGGCTTTAAAGCTATACAATTTAGAGTTCAACATTTTATTTCAGATTTGTAAAAGCTGCTGACGCCTTGTCAGTGAGTGTCATAATTTCCTTCACGATCAAAATCACTACCCAAATAAAAGTAAATTGATCTGCTTCTTGTTTATAAACCCGCGTGTGTATGAGTTTGCTCGGGCTGCTTCATTGTCTTTGGACAAACTCCTCTGCTCATAATACCATACACAAGATTAACACACATTTATATTTTAGCACAGGACCCTTTTTTATGCCAGTAGTGCAGTAAGCATATGGTGCTAATTCATTTGTTTCAACTTGCTAGCCATCCTTCCTGATACTCATTTAGATTAGGTTTAGAGCCAGGCTCAACCCCCGCCCCCTTTCTCCTACCCTGCTCCTCGTCCTTCAAATCCTCCGGGCACGGAATAAAACCCAGAATAAAATATTATTTACAGAATTAAACAAATTTTTTTTAATGATTAAAAAAAAAAACATTTATATCACATATATTCAACTGCTAATGTGTCCTTACTGTTCTAGCCACTTTACTACCACTTGTCTGATACAGGCACAATTAAGGCATCTCTTAAACAGAAAGAACATATTTCTGTTTTTCTTTCCCCCCACAGCAATCAGGTCCAATGCATTTTACAGCTTCCTCTGAACCCAAGCAAATTGCTGATGAAGAAAATGATGCAGAGAAACAGAAAATGGACCCTAAAGTATTTGATCAAGTGAGTTAAAATATCTAATCAAATGTCAGTTTTGTTCCAGAAGAATATGTTTTTACTTAAGTACACAGAAATATGCAGCAGTCAGCACACAGACATTTTAGTGAGGGAGGTGGGTACAGAACTGTGGTGCACTCCTTGAAGGAGAAAAAAGAAAAAAGTAATGTTTACATCTCTCAGAAGTTTGTTGGGGTTCACATGAAAAGATAAAATCAGCAGTTCTAGATTACAGCAAATGACAGACTTAAAAGATGTGAATTTAGAAAAGAAAAAAAAATCGATAGGTGGATTGGACACGTCCTCAGAATGAAGAAAGAGAGAAGGCCGAGACAGGCAATGCAGTTGACACCACAAGGACAGCGAGGAAGAGGCACTTGGAGGCAAATTTTTGAGGCTAAACTCAAGGCTACCGAAGAAAAAACAGGAGATAGAGAGGATGACTCCGGATAGAATTAAGCGGCGACAGTTTGTCTCTGCCTTATGTGCCTCTGGGTGCAATGAGCATAGATTAAATGTTTACATCATTGATTCTGATAAAGATGATTGAGTCATAGTTATTTCTCTAATATAGCCATGCTGTTTTGACATTCTAGTCTGGGATATAGTTGCACACTCTAATAGTCTTGCTGTCTTTACCTTCTAATCTGGGATATAGTTGGCCCTTTTAATACTTACTATTTTGACCTTCTAATCTAGGATATAGTTGCACCCTCTAATACAGTCTTGCAATTTTGACCTTCTGGTGGAGAATGTAGTTGCACCCTCTAATATGGTCTTTCTATTTAGACCTTCTAATTTTGGATATAGTTGCACCCTGCAATGCAGTCTTACTGTTTTGATTTTCTAATCTTGAATGTAATTGTGTCTTCTAATAGCTTCTATTTCCATTTCCAGTCTGAGTTGTAGCTGTACCCTATAGTATAGTCTTGCTATTTTGACATAACATTCAGTGTCCCTTTGTGTTATTTCATGATTTTGACAGTGTAAAGAAAAGATGCGTCCCTTGAAGAAAGTCCTGAAACAACTGAGCGAGCCTGATGAGAGTCTCGATGAGAAGCAGCAGGTAGCGTTTATCAGGAGCATTTTACTCAAAATTGGGGACCATATTAATGTGTGCATCGAAGAGTTTTCTGATCCAGAGAAAATAAAATTCTGGCGAGAGTAAGTTACATCACATTATCTTTTGTTATGTTATCATAATCATCGTCACTGCACATCAGAGATTGCCGTGCATGCTCAGTCCTCCAATTCAGCAGCCACTCCAAGGTATCTCAACTGGTTGTTTCCATGTAGTTTCTTATGTCTCATATCTTGGCCTCAAAGGGGATGTAGACCTACTTTACCATGCTTTACTTTCAGCTCACGCAACTGTTAGCGTCAAAGATTTTCCATTATGCACTTAGTCCATATAACATTGATGATATCTGCTCTGCCATTGCCTCTTCCCTCATGTGTTAATGCATTGCTTACCTTTTGGTCCACTCACACATGACCTTTTATACCAACATGGCCCGGTGGTTACATCACATTGATCACATGCGCAACTATATATGCAAGAAGATGCAAAGTAACCCTAGTTATAACTGAGAATTTGATATGCAATAAATTACTAAATTATTTTATTTTAGAAGGAAAATAACTGCCGCACCCATTCTCAAGAATTGTCTTTTTAAATTTATTTTTCTTCGTTTGCTTTGAAAAGGGTAGTGGGCATTGTGTGTTGTTGTTCACAGTTAGGCTGCGATACCTACACCATTCTGCCCAACACACCTAGTTTCAGCAAACTCTTAAATTAGTTGCCTTATTTGACATGCTTGTTAAGGGGCAGTCTGTCATCTGTGTGTGCGCGCGCGCGCGCGCGCGCGCGCGCACACACACACACACACACACACACACACACACACACACACACACACACACACACACACACACACACACACACACACACACACACACACACACACACACACACACACACACACACACACACACACACACACACACACACACACACACACACACACACACACACACACACACACACACACACACACACACACACACACACACACACACACACACACACACACACACACACACACACACACACACACACACACACACACACACACACACACACACACACACACACAACACACACACACACACACACACACACACACACACACACACACACCCCCCCCCCCCCCCCTCTCTCTCTCTCTCTCTCCCAGTGTGGTGCCATAAAACACACAATACTTTTGTAATTTTTACTTTCATATTTCAGACCTTGCTGGGCAAACCGAACTGTTTGTTTATTTGGAGTGCAAACCTTTATCGGTTAAGAATGATTCAGAATTAAAGATAATTTTAGTTTTTAAAGTAATATAATCATTAACTGAAAGTGGCACACAAATTAGTGTGTGACTTATGTATAGACTTTACCTTTGCTAGCTACCGCAGACATTGAAATCTCCTTAATTATTGTTTTTACATTTACAGTTGTTTTGCTTCAGCTAAAACATTATAAAAAATAGAAGGGTAAATTGATAAAATCGGCATACAACATAGTGGGTATTTGTTTTCCTCAGCAATCTGTGGCTGTTTGTGTCAAACTTTACAACACTGAACCACAACAAGCTGCGCAAGCTCTACAAAGGTGCATCCAAGAAGAGAAATGATGAAAAGAAAGGGGTTGGTACTTGCTTGTATTACTTATGCAAAAGAAAAAATTCCCATTTTGTTCTTCTTCTTTTATCTATTCCTAGTATGCCATGAGAAGAGATCTCTGGAACGGTCACTTCTGTTTGCTTCTGATAAAGTACTTTTTAGTGTCTCTGATATTTCTGCGTAATTGACCTCTTTGGTTCTGTCACTGCTCTGTATCTGTATAACATTGCTCTCTGTGGTGCCCCGGCTGATGCCAGTCTTGTTACATGACCAAACCATTTGATTTGTTGTCTACCTTTAAAGTTCATTTTAGTTCTGTGCCGACTCTTCTCCTGATATCATCGTTCCTAAATTGATCCTTCCTCATTACATACACAGTGTTTTTTTAGTTTTCATATTCACATGTTTGCATTTAAAAATTCTTATTTAATAACACTTAATGGTACTTGTGTAAATTCTGCCTCAGATGAGGAAGGGCAGTTTGTCAATATCTTTTTCTTCTTCTGCAGTTATCTAAAGATAATTTAGTTAATGCATTGTGCCTGTTTACAGCATGGCCGCAATATTAGTGCCTTTAGGTAGACTAAACTAATCTCTGCAGGCATTTGATTTGAATACATTGTGCTGTGATACTGGGCTCACCTAAGGAATTATCATGTCCTGCGTATGACTTAAACCTCACTTCCGTATATTATCTAGAAACCACCAGGAGGCAGTCTGCCGACCTGGTATTTCAAATACCCGCATAAAATTAGTACTAGGCTGCTAGTTTCATATGGCATTTGCCACATAGATGCCTACGAGCATTCAGTGTGGCAGCATATGGACAGATGCGTGGGTTTCATATACCGACAGATGGGTCGGTTTCATGTTTTCTCCCTACTTTAAGATCCCTCTCACTCTCTCTCGCTCGCATTCTTCTGTTCTCTCCACTCACACTAGCATGATATTTAATAACATTCTACTAAAGGGAGTCTGTTCCTTTGAGGTGTGAATCCTGATTTTATAAAGAATTCATTTAGAAAAAAAAGTAGGTGACACTGATGGTATTTGATAAATGAAATGACAAACAAGATGAATTCAAGACCTTCAGAGGCGTTCCTTCCGAAAGACATTTGTACCTTGTGAAGATTTAAGTTGTTCTACAAGGTTATTATATTTAGAATTTTTTTTAATGACTGTATGTAACATTTATAAAAGAATGATAACCTTACACATGTTACCATCTTTTCTAAACTTGTCAATTACAGGGAGGTGACTCTAGACGCAGCACCATCAAAAGAAGCGATAAGTTGGACAGAGAAGATGGCAATGTAAAAAAAAATCACTCCAAGCACAAAAACGATCGTAATCATGCTCATCATCCACAGTTTCATCAACACAATGATGGGTATGTCATGTGTATTTCATAATCAACATTTTACTTGTAGGTAATGATAGCTGGTAGTCGGCTCTGTGGCTAAGTCGATGTGAACGCTTCGTAATGCTGGGATGCCAGGTTCGATCCCAGCTGCGGGCTATGCGCCTTGCGTTGGTTTCGACAGTGGTATCAAGAAAGCTGACCGTCCAGAAGGCAGTGGCAAACTACTGGGTGTAAATTTGCCTAGAAAAACCACGCAACAGCCAGGGGCTGTTGGGGTTGTTCTGCAAAGTCCTGTAAAGGATACGCAACTAACCTAATGATAGCTGGTAGATCAGTACTAGTTGTTACATCATTTTACCATAAAAAGTTTCCATCTCTTATCTGTTCACATCCTCTATTTGAAGACAAAATGTTGGTGGGGTCTTGCCATTTGTATCATGCTCTGGGGGTTGTGGGTTCATTACACAGACACACTGTTGACTTGATGAATGCAGTATTTACAGAGATCCATGATTGCTAGAGCAATGGAGTTTGTGCTTTATGCGACACATTTGGCAGGTCGCTAGCTGTTCTGTATAGTGAGACAGAGCCATGTGAAATAAAACCAGGGCAACAAAGTCGATCAAGACAACTTTAACTCCTGTCATTTGTATTTGTCACGGATTATCAGCATTCAGAGTTTGATGCTGGATAATTTACTGTGGTGTACATATTCCTCTTTGGATTCATGGTAGCACAGTGGCTTGACAGATGCCTGCTGCCCCGAAGGTCTTCGGTTTGAATCTGCATTCAGTCCGACCTTTTCTTAAAAATTTACCTGAGCTTCCATGTTGACCGATCCTAAATCAGCACCAGGTAATGTCTTGGGAAGTAAAGGCAGCCAGCATGCTGTTAACCACATTACCCACTGAGTACCAGTCTGGCAACATTTGCCTGATATGTCGCTGGGATATTAAAAGGTTTTTTCCCCTTTAAAAAATACTTTTCACATTGCTTCGAAAAAAATTATTTCAGTTGCCTGCAGACTTCTACAGTGTTCACTATATAGATGCAACTCCTATTTTGTGATGACATTGTTCACTTTATAGCTGCAACACTTATTTTGTGACCACAGTGTTGGCTTTGTAGCTGCAGCATTCATTTGTGACCACAGTGTTAGCTTTATAGCTGCAGAATCCATTTGTGACCACAGTGTTGGCTTTATGGCTGCAACACCCGTTTTGTGACCACAGTGTTAACTTTTTAAGTGTAACATCCATTTTGTGACCACAGTGTTTACTTTATAGTTGTAACATTAGTTTTGTGATTACAATGTTGACTTTATAGCTGCAACACCCATTTTGTGACTACAATGTTCAGTTTGTAGCTGCAGCATCGATTTGTGACCAGTGTTCACTTTATAGCTGTAACACCCATTAGTGACTACAGTGTTCACACTATAGCTATAACCTCCTTGTTATGTGTGTCCATGTGGTCCGCTTTATAATCATAACACTCATTTTGTGACATTTACTTTTAACCATAACACCCATTTTGTGACCACAGGGTCAGTTTCATAGCTGCGACTTTTTTTAAATACATTTATCCTCATAAATCTGACTTACTGTACTTAATTTTTTTCCTTGTAGGGCTGTAACCACTGAGATTTTTTTTTTATACAAACATTTTACTGGTGCCTTTTGTTTATTAGGAGCAGCCTCAGTAGCCTAGCAGCTAGATGCTCGCCTGCCGGCCTAAAGGTCTAGGGTTTAAATTTGTGCCTAGACATTGTTTAGGCAAAAAAAAATTTTGACCTTATCTTTCAGGTTGAGCCAGTCTAAAATTGGTACTAGCTAAAATGTCCAACCTGGAAAGCTAACCTGGTCAACAAATGCCTGCAGAAGTCAGATGTATCAGCCGAAAGGTGAAAATATCGCAGCCATGCTGTAAACGGGCACAACGCAGTTACATCTTCGGATGAACGCAGAAGAAGAAACTGAATTGGGGAGTAAAGGCAGTCAGTGTGCTGTTGACCACATCACTCATTGAGGCAGTCAGTGTGCTGTTGACCACATCACTCAATGAGGCAGTCAGTGTGCTGTTGACCACATCACTCATTGAGGCAGTCAGTGTGCTGTTGACCACATCACTCAATGAGGCAGTCAGTGTGCTGTTGACCACATCACTCAATGAGGCAGTCAGTGTGCTGTTGACCACATCACTCATTGAGGCAGTCAGTGTGCTGTTGACCACATCACTCATTGAGGCAGTCAGTGTGCTGTTGACCACATCACTCAATGAGGCAGTCAGTGTGCTGTTGACCACTCCACTCATTGAGGCAGTCAGTGTGCTGTTGACCACATCTCTCATTGAGGCAGTCAGTGTGCTGTTGACCACATTACTCAATGAGGCAGTCAGTGTGCTGTTGACCACATCCCTCATTGAGGCAGTCAGTGTGCTGTTGACCACATCACTCATTGAGGCAGTCAGTGTTCTGTTGACGACTTCACTCATTGAGGCAGTCAGTGTGCTGTTGACCACATCACTCAATGAGGCAGTCAGTGTGCTGTTGACCACATCACTCATTGAGGCAGTCAGTGTGCTGTTGACCACATCACTCAATGAGGCAGTCAGTGTGCTGTTGACCACATCACTCAATAAGGCAGTCAGTGTGCTGTTGACCACATCACTCAATGAGGCAGTCAGTGTGCTGTTGACCACATCACTCATTGAGTGCCGTTGCTCTAGCACTGTATATGCCCAGTGACAAGAGTCTTTTACTTTCTTTATGCAGTCACATTTGTTAATTGAGCTCATTTAATTTATTTAATTGTCCATATCCATTTCTTAGACTTGTAAATACTAGTCATAATAAAGGACATCATCAGCGTAGCTCAGCTGGCCACCAACCACCTCACCGTCCATCTGCTGGCTTAGATAACTTACCACCGGAACCAGAAGGAGTCAGTCCAAGCAATAACTGGACACTGGCCAGCCCCTTGTCTCGAACTGAGGATGTTGCACGTAACAGGTAAGTGTTTGTATATTGCCGAGGGTAGGGAGGTATTTTTATATTTCTTTCTGAAATATTAGGGCTTGATTTAATGTTTGGTTGTATCAGATCAGCACTGGTTATTATCGCTTATAGCTGTTGCAACTTGTGGGTATTTGTTTCAGTGTAAACATTACTGTAATTTAATTTGGCCACGCTGTTTATTCAAATTATCAACTGTTGCCTGCGTACCTTTTTTTTTTTAAAGTATGTTCTTATGTGTGTCTTGAAAAGATATCAAACCTAACGAAAAAAAAAAAAAAATTCTGGTTGTTCATTTACTTCTAGACTGAAGTCTTATTTCACAATTTATGTTTCTATATCTTTTTTTTTACATATCTAGCTCATTTGTGTGCAACTATTGGTCCCTTTCTTCTTAGACAAATGCAGACTTCTAAAGAAACCCTTAATTAGTTGGATCTTGACCACATGCTTGCTAGGGAGGTTATGGTCCATTCTCTCCCCTCCCTGCAAACAGCTGGGCTCCAGATGGTTCAGTTTCATACTTCTTTCTTAAGCTTGTAATTGTTTGGCTATAATGTCGAGTAAGAGGAGCAGCGGTAGCATAGTGGCTAGATGTTTGCATGCCGGCCCACAGATCTTGGGGGGAGGGGGCTTTGAGCCTGAAGATTTGGGGCCACATGACTAGTGCTGTTGCCATGGACTGTGCAGGTGAGAATTTTATGACAAAAAAAAATCCTCAACCTTACCGAGAATTCGAACCCTGATCTCCTGCATGAGAGCCCGGCCTTCTAACCGTTCGGCCATTCACTTCTCACATTCACCAGCTGGAAAGTTCTGGGTGATCATCCACTTCTGGACTTTAGTCTTGTTCTTTAACTTGAGCGACCCATGTGGGTTATGGGGCTCTTTTACAGGGAAAACAAGAATAGACCAACTGCCTACCCAAAAGTTTGCATAGAATGAGTCAGATCTGTAAAACGGATGAACACGCAACACTCAGGTTCTGGAACAGGACTGCAGTCCAGAAGTGGATGAACAACCAGAACTTTCTGCTAGAGTTCACAGCTGGTGAACGCAAAGAAGAAGAAGAAAACTTGAGTTTCACGTGCACACCTATTTTACAGATTTATCTCATTTGTAAGCCAACTGTTGGTTCCTTGCCTCACAGGTAGATGCTCTCTGACTTTAAAGGAAACAGTTCTTTCCCAATATCCTACCCCAGAAGCGTCACAGGCCCAATATCTTACCCCAGATGATGTCACTGGACAGTCCAGTATTCTAAAGGATGTTGAGACTGGGTGTTCCGCTTAGTTTTCGTGCATGGCTTTCTGTGTGTGTAGGGTTAGAGTTTAGGTTTCTGGTTAGGGTTATTATGTGGGGTTAGGATTAGGTTTTGAGGTTAGGGTTGGACGACTTGTTCGCGACCTATCTGGTGGACGTTGTTACACTCTAGGCACCATAACAGTAGTCGAGTCTGTCATCTCTGCCGCCACCGCCACACTAGTTGCCACATGTTGACATCCTCCAGATCTAGTAGTGAGTACAACTGTTCTGATTGTCAATTTGTGAAAAGAACACAAAAACTGCATCTTCCCAATTGCACATAAAGTCCACAACACACGCACAAATGCACAGCAAAAAACTGCATAGCACACAAAACAGAAGCACAGAAAAGTGAAAACTGCAGAGCACAAAACTGCACAGCGAATAAAATGCAAAATTACTACATAAACACCACCACCCCCCCCCACACCCCCCCCCCCCCCCCCCCCCCCCCCCCCGCTGAAATAATAGACCACCATGACGTGGATTTTCACTGTTTTGTGTATGATATTGGGGGAAAATCGGAAACACCCCTAAAAAGTCAACTTTAACGATCCCACACAGGGTAAAACATCATTTGAGTTTATTTTGTATTTTTCTTATTCATATTGTATGTTAGGTTCCTGGTTGGTAATCCTGTTGTAATTTTATTTAGTTTCTGCACTTACTTGTAAAAGTGTATACTTATCTGCTAGTTCGTATTGTAAGTCGTTTATTTGTATAGAACTAGTGCATGAATGTTGTTATGGCAACTTGTCTGGTATTCACAGATATGATAGCACGTACCATCGTCACCCCCACTCCCATTCCAACCCACACTCAACGCAGCATGAGTCTCATCGCAGCGACTGGTCTTCAGGAGACTCCAAAGACTACTTCAGGTGAATACATTCCCCTCAATGATTTCAACAGGTTAATTTTAGCTTGCGTACACCAGCATGGCTGGATATTTGTAGAGCAGAATTAGCATAGTATCTTTACTGTGGCTAAGAGGACAAAAGCAATCTTCTTCTTTTGTCAAAATCTGCTTGTGCCGCTAGGCGTCGCAGTCTATCAGATGATCGGCAACCGAGCCAGGGCGCGCTCAGTCGCTTCATATGCCGTGATGTTATGAAGTCTCAAGTTGTCTGTGACTCCTTCAATCCATCTTCTTCTTGGTCTTCCCCTGCCTCTTGGTGTTTCGATTTTCATGTTGTATGCTCTTGATGCTGGCATCGTTGGTTCCATTCTCATTAGGTGACCAAACCATTTCATTCTTTGCTTCTCAATAAATTTAACGATGGGTATGGTTCCAATAGTTCTTGTAATCACATCGTTTCTCACTCGATCTCTTCTGGTTTTATTCGCAGCCATTCTCAAACATCTCATTTCACAGGTGGTTAGTCGTCTCTCGTGTTCCTTTGTTAATGTCCAAGTCTGACATTGATAACCTAATGTCGGTATAAAGATTTTATTTATAATTTGTCTTTTTATCTCAGCTGGGACAGCAGGGTGTTTTAAAATTGGGGCAAGCTGGTATGCGACATTGTTGGCTTGTTGGATTCTTGCTTCGATCTCTCTGTCTATTTTACCATTGGATGTAAAGATACTTCCCAAGTATTTAAATTCTTGCACTTGTTTTAGGATGTGATCTAGAATCGTTATGTCGATGGTCTGTTGCTCTCTACTTATGCTCATGACTTCTGTCTTTTCAGTATTGATCTTCATATGATGCTTGAGCTCTTGTTCTAATGGCTCATTTACTTTGTCTATAAATAGCCCTAACACAATCTAAAATTGTTCCATTTATGCCGCTATAAAAAGCAATACAAAAGCAATACTACTCCAAAATTATGTTAAATATCAGTAATCAGTATTATACAAGTGTTGTAGTAATGAATAAGGAAGAGTTTTACAGCATGGTTGCAGTGGCCATGTTGGATATTAGGAGTTTTTCAAGTGGTGCAGGCTTATTTATATTTGAAGTTATGTTTTTGTCCTTAAAAAAGTATAAACGTTATGGAGTTTGTTGAAAATTAAAAGATCAACTGACCATGTAATGGAGAGAACCCCGGAAATAAAGAGGTACTGTTTTACAATTTATACCTCCCCTTGGACAAAGCAGATAGAAAAAGAACAAGATTAGATATGAGATGAATTTACAGTGATACTTTTTTTTTTTTTTAAATTGAAGAATATTATTTCTTTATAGTTTTTTTTTAAAAGGTTTTATTGTAATAATAAACAAACAACTTGCACACAGTTAAGTCAGATCTGTTACATGAATATGCTCGCAACACTCAGGTTGCATGAACAAGAACATGAAGATGTAATAATATGAGGTGCTTCAAATGAAAAATAAACATCCTAGCCTGCACAGTTTGTGATGACTACACTAGCCATGTGGCCCTAACACTTCAGGCTCAAGACACCCCCCTTTTCCTACACTGCTCCCCCCTCCCCCCACCCAAAAGAAAGTGGCACTGTTGGCAGTAAAGGCAGGAATCATTTGAGATAAAATTGGGAACCGCAGCATGTCATAGTCTGCATAGTTTGTTAGTCTCCTACAAATGACAACATTGTTGTGATCTTTACAGTCCAGTAGTGTCAGTTTTTTTTGTTTCTTTTGTCATTTGACATTTTTCTGTTTGAAGAGTGTTTGTACAGAGTTGGTCCTGAAAGTAATTGGACACGAGCTGTAGTTTCGCGAATGAGAAAAATCTAAGAGGGAGGGGGGAGGGGTTTAAATTACGTATTGCAACAAATACCAGTTGTCGACAAGCAGTTGGAGTGTGCTGATCATGGAAATAGTGAATTCCTGTGAAGGTACCCCATTATGTCATCTTGAATGACTAGAACAGTTTGAAAATGGCGTCTTATCATGACCCTTTTTAGCCGGGCGGAACAATAAAATTTTTTCACTGAGACAGATCTGGGGTGTATGCAAGGTTTGAGTTTTTTTCTTGGCCAGAATCTGCCTAGTCCCCAGGGCAGTTTGGGTCGACACAGCTGTCGGCAATCTCAGGATGGACATGATGGACTCATCAACGAAGTCATTCAAATACCTCGACGTAGAAAATGCATTTACAGTTTGTCAAGAAGGATCAAACTTAGAGTGGTGGACTCTTTTCAAATCATGGAAGACAAAGAACATTGTTTCGATTTTTGATTTGCCCAGGCAAGCCTTCTTCTTACAAGGTGACCCTTTCTGATGCCATTCGGAACTTTGCCTTCTGGTCTCTGGATCGTACTTAAACATCCAGGATTAGTCTCCTGTGATCCCCTTGGAATTATCAATTGCTCTTCAAAGACTAAAACAACTGAATAAATTATGGAATTGTACAGATAGAATTACAAAGGTCAGATTTTTAAGAGCATGCATCTTTCCCATTGCAACATACGCCTGTGAGACCTGGACACTTACTAAACAAGCGGAACAGCGCATAAATGCATTTGAATATAAATGTTACAGACAGGTTCTAAGAATATCTTGGGTAAAGAAAAGAACAAATGCATCCATACTTCAAGAGCTGAATATTGAAGAGGGTTGGCTAGTAAAGACAATAAAACAAAGAAAATTGAAATATTTTGGTCACTTGAAACGTCATGGAAGTCTAGAGAGAACAATAATGGAGGGGTATATGCCTGGGAAGAGAGGAAGAGGAAGGCCAAGGAGAAGATGGGTGCAGGATGTGGCAGATGATCTCCAGATGGGTGTATCGGACGCAGGACATCTTGCTCAGGATAGGAAGGTTTTCCGGAGGGTTGTTATGGCTGTGAGGTTCCGCGAGGGACATGCTACTGAATGAATGAATGATCACCTTCTGCAGGATGTTTGGCTGTGCTGCCACACGGTCTAACAATTCTTGCGAAATTGTCACACTGACTGCTTTGTTTTGGTCTGTCAGCACTTTTGGCACCAACTTTGCACACACTTTTTGCATGTCTAATTCTTGCTAAAAAATTTCATAAACTTGCTTTTTGCAATGATGTGCACATCCCAAATTAACAGCTTCATGATATAACATGGCAAGTCACAGCAAACTCTAGTTGGTAGCTTGGCATATAGGAACTTCACACGTAGTTTTCAATCCTCCAAAGCCTGAATTATTGAAACAGGCTAATAGAATTATCAAAGTAGATCATTTCCTGTTGTAATCATGTCTCTTATTCATATATTTTTGACAATTACTTTAGCCTGTAGTTGAAAGAAGCATAATTAAAACTTTGATTTTTATAAACAATAAACTGTTGTTTACAACTGCCGTGTGCATCCCCCAACCTGCACCATTTATAGTTTGGCTGGTTGTTCACTGAACACTGATGCTTAATTCAATGTATGACATATTTATTGGGACTGTGGTGACACACACTGTACAAGTTTCTATTAAAAAAAAAAAAAAAAAAAAAAAAAAAAAAAAAAAAAAAAAAAAAAAAAATTGATAGTCATCTTTATATTTTATATTTACGTCTAGTGTACATGTCTTCTTCCTTCTTCTTTATCATTGGCCCGAGTGATGTAAATGTGTTATGCCTGTTTACATGATAGCTGCTGTTTTTGCATTTTTTGGCAGACACATCCAGCTTCTTCTGGGTTTTGTTTTTCGGGTCAATAATGTCCTTTAAATTGTGTCAGAACCAGTGGCATACATTTCATAATCCCCACAGAGTTTGTCCTCAAGTAGATTAGGTTTAGGGCAGACCAACTATCTTTTGCATATGTATGCTGTAGTATCACCAGTTTCACAGTTAAATTTATGTTTCTCATCTTTAGCTGATTTAGGAGTATTATTTAAGCCTGTTGTCTCCTGTGTGGAGTCTGGAGATTGCTACATATTCTCTGAGCTGGTTATATGGAACATCCTCCTGGTGGCTTGGGTTCTTGCCATTTTAGCCAAAGGATTAGTGGACAGATCATCCTCACTATACATTAGACCATTCATTCCATAAGTACTTGAATCTCCTCTCTCTACAGCCCTGTAGACAACACCAGTTTTCACGTTTGTTCTTTGTTTGAAAGGGAAAACCATCCTTTTTTATTATTTAAGTTAGCTGTTGTTGTCCGCCAGGTTCAACAATGACCGGCAGGGAGCTCAGAATTATCGTGATTACCGGGGTCGCAGTGACCACAGAGGAGGAGCTTACCGCCCGGATCCTCCAAGAAGTGACCACTACCTTCCTGAATATGGTAACCATTATCGGGAACAGAGTGGTGGCCAACAGCAGCAGCACTACGGTCGAGACAGGGGAGGCAATGACTGGAATCAAGACAGGTAGGGGGAGAGCAGTCATTTCCTGAACTTTTGTTGTTAATACATCCAACACTGCTAGTTTTTATTTTTTGTGTGATGCTTGTTTGGCTGTGACACTGATTGTGATTGAATCAAGAGTGAGAATTGTCTGGGATTTATGTTGTGATCAATTTTATCTTTTTTTTCTGCCTTGCCCTAAAAATGGTGGCACATTGTGTTCTGGTTTACAACTAGGCTGCAGTATCTGCAGCTTTTGGCCCAACAGGTATGATTTCTGCAAACCCTGTATTAGTTGCCATTTATGACATACTTGTGAGGGGACAAGGGTCTGTTCTGTTTTTCACTTGGAACACACAGTATGTGATCTCATAATAATAATGTGTTTGTTGAATGAGAAAGAGATACACATGTATTGTTTATAATTTTATATCTCTAGAGCTAGCGTTGTCTTTGGCAGACTAGAAAAATGTTTGGAATAGAAGTGGCATAACCCTGCTGACAAAGCTTTAAGTATACAGAGCAGCTAAATCAACTACACTACTGTATGCATGTGAAACATAGTATACAAGTGCCAGGCCAGAAAGCTAAACCACTTTCATACAGTCTGCGTTAGAAAAATAATGCAGATCAGATGTCAAGACAAAGTACCTGATACCTTAGTACTTGAGAAAGCAGCTATGCCCAGCCTCCACACTCTACTGATGCAGTACCAAATTTGTTGGGCTGGTCATGTGGCACACATGCCAGATCACAGGCTTCCAAAAACACTTCTATGGGGAGCTGCAAAATGGGAAACGTTCCCAAGGCGGGTAAAAAAAATCATCCACTTTAAGGAATGACACCAATTGGGAGGCTGCCTCTCAAGACCGAAATGCATGGTGTGCAACTCTACGCAAGGGCACGGCTACATGTGAAACAAACAGAACAACAAGACTGATCAAGCAAAGGATGAACACAAGGACGACTGCAGGAGATACCCTTCGGGGCACAAAACTCATTCCCTGTCCTCACTGTCCAAGAACTTTTCGGGCCCTTATCGGCTTCATCAGTCATCTTCATACTCATACTTGATGGACAACACACACATATCTCTAGAACTGCTAGGAGAACTGTCTGTGTTTTTATGTTTGAGAGTGTGACATTGGCAGGTTGGTTTGATTTACTATGTAAACTTTAGTGTTGAAGGGGAAGGGAAGTTTTGAAATGATCACTATTAATTTTAAAATATTGCTTTAATATAGAAGTCTGTATGCTTGAACTGAAATCACTGGCCAAAGTGATTTAAGATAGTTGCAAATTATATATGAATCTGGCACACAGAAATCATGATGGCCTTGTTCTTCTAAAGTAAAATTGGTAATTCCACATAGTGAACATGACTTTCCAAACACAGTCCAGAAAGGAGAAAATATTTTCAGAGGCTAAATTCAACTCAGGCCACTACCCTTTACAGGAGAGCACACTATGGCTCAAAGTTAGCGGTACTAATTAAATTTGTGCCATTTATGAAGCATTGATTATAAAGTACAAAAGGAGAGGGACTTGGATCACTGGTTTGACCAAGATGGAAAAAAAAAAGGTAAAATCAGATCAACTCTGCAACAGTACCATTGTATTTATGGTCAAGGCAGCCAGAAGAGCAAGAGGCAGAACCTTATCTCTCACTTAACATTTGAAGCAGTTAAACAGGAAGTGAAGAAGAAAATATTAATATGCTCCACTGAAATAATGGTCCAAATGCTGACTTGTTATATACACCTGTATTTGATGCAATATTTATTTTTGATTTTTGTTTTACTTAGTTTAAAAAAAAAACTCACATAACACATGTCTTATCTTCTCATAGTCATCATACTTACAGTGATCGCAAGCGGAGAGGTGACAGGCCATCTGAAGATAACAAAGATTGGGAAAGAAGATCCCACAAAGATCCCAGGTTAGATGGAAAAGCTCGATACCCACAGCCTCCACCTCCTGGTGATTCTGCAGCAGCATTCTCCCAGCACTAGCTCAAGCCACTACCCTTAAGGGCTGGACACAAATCTACAGTAAGCGTTGAACGCTAGGGTAATGATTCAGTGTTCTGCTGACTTCACCTTTGACAATCTGAAAAACATGGAGGGGACTAATATGAGCCTTCACACATTGCCTTTTTCAGTTTGTTACCATCTGATACCCACAGCGAGAAACTGAGGCAACTCATGTGTTCTGCACTGCGGTCTTTCCGTGCGTGTCCAGGGTTGTGGAAACTGTTACTGTATGCTGTTGCAAGCAATACTGTGTTTCCCCAAAAATTAGAACGGGTCTTTTTTTTACTTGTTGCTTTGTTGCTCCAAAAGACACATTGGAGCTTATTTTCAGGGGATGTATATTTTTTCGTGTACAAAAATCCACATTTTTTTTTAAAAAAAAATACAAAAATGTACAATTATTCAAGCTTTAATGCAAAAATTATTATTTATTTATATTCATTTGTAATTTACATACATCCATTGTGTCTTTAAATAAATCCGTCCATCTGGTTGAGGATTTTAACTAGGGCTTTTATTTAGGGTAGGGCTTATATCATATCACAAGCATACTGAAAAATCTAATTTTTGGGGAAATACAGTAGCTGCATAACATAGGAATGCTTTCTAGTATGTTAGATACCAGTGCTGGATGATGAGTCTAAAAATTACTTATTGTGGCATGGTAATGTTGTTAGTGATAATGTTTTGGTGTAGTGTTAAGTGAGATATCTCAGGAACCTGGAAACGCATCATAAATGAAACCTGTCATCGCTGTGAGCCAGAACCCATTATGGGGATTGGAGGGAGGACTCACTGCCCTCCCAGCAAGCATGTCGTAGTGCTTGTCAGGAGTGCTTCTGTCAAGGTCGGAGTGCATCTGCCTGAGAGGTGAGGAATCGTACATATGTCAGCTCTGTAAAACAAATGTATGTGCAAATCTCAAGTTTTGGAGCAAGATTAAAGAAGTGGATGAACAACTTACCAGAACTCTCAACTGAAGTTTACTGCGGTGAGCGCAAAAACAAAAAAATAGTAACAAAAAGAAATCTCTCGATGTGGGAACTTACAGCGCAGTTAGAGTGCCCAGAGTCAGGGTATGTTCTTGCTGTTAGGCAGGCTTGAAAATCTTTGTCATGGCTGCCAGGGGTTGTGAGAGGTTAATGTCCACTAGTCAACTTGATCATTGTGACAGAAGAAATATGTCAAGTAGAATGTTTAAACATTAACTCTTTCAAACCCTGAAGGTCTCACACCGATCACATTTATGAAATAAGTATATGTACAAACAATATACTACACTATTCTGTTGAAGAAAAACATCATGAGAATGGACTATCCCATATATATATATATATATATATATATATATATATATATATATATATATATATATATATATATGGAAAAAAAAGAATAAACCTACTGCCCATCTAACAAGCATAAAAGGTTTCTAATTCTAATTAAGAGTTTCCTGAAATAAGATATTTGGGACTGAAATGCATAGATATCGCAGTCTTGCTGTAAACCATATCACAATGTGTCAACTGCCCTTTTAAGGGCGAAAGCAGAAGGGGAGGAACTATATGGAGACCAGAGTAAGAAATCACATAATATGATGTTTAAATTTCTTTACCAGAGGACAGTTAAATTAGTTACAAATCAGTATTGGTACTTTCCTTGGTACCTGAAGAAGTAAAGCGAATGGGAGATCATACACTGCACGCACCATGTTTGGTTGTGAAAGAGTTTAGAGGAAATGCCATGTTGGACACATGATGATGCTTATTTTTTTCTTCCCTTTTGGTGCAAAAAATGTACTCTCACCAGCTGAGAACTCCATAGAAAAGATCTGGTTGTTTTCTCACTTCTAGGCTTTAATCTTATTCTAAAACTTGAATTTTGCCTGCACTTCTGTCTTACATATCTGTCTTATTTGTGAGCACATTGTTGCTTTTGTTGGTTTCTTACCTATCGGGCAGATGCATTCAGACTTCCAAGGAAAGACCCCCTAATTAATCACCTTGCTTTTTAAGGATGCCATAGGTTCTGTTCACAGTGACAAAGATTTTTGATACTTTTAACCCCCGTGTGGGTTCCGGGGCCCCATTATGGGGAAAACAAGAATAGACTCACCGCCTCCCCAAAAGCATGTCGTAAGAGTCTACTAATTGGGGAGCTTCCTTTGAAGTCGGAGTGTATCTGCCGGAGAGGCAAGGAAGCAACAGTCTGTATTCAAGAGAATGAGATCTGTAAAACTGATGCACACGCAACACTCAGGTTCTGGAGCAGGACTGCAGTTCACTAGTGGATGAGCAACCAGAACTTTCCGCCAGAGTGTACAGCTGGTGAAGGCGAAGAAGAAGAAGATACTTTTAAGTTTCGGAAACTGAACTATCTTTGGAAATAAAGTGGCTGCGGAAGCCTCATGAGCTACAGGAAGGAACACAAACATCTGTGTGTGGTCTTGGAAGCACAATGCACAGTTTGTTGAAATGTTCAATCAGGCATCCTGTTTTGATTAAAACTTGAAACCTCATGAAAGTTTGAATAAATATTACTTTACGCTGTCTTGTTTTAAGAGAGGATAAAAATGCATTTCCTGTATAAACAAATCCTAAACTGCAATTCTCTCCCCTTCTTTGTCTTTCCCTGCCTCTCAGCTTTCGGCTCCATCACCACATCAGCTGTTAGTGTTTATGGTTAGATGTTAGTGGCAAACAACTTATTCTAAAAGCCACCAGTACAGTGCATTTTTAAAGGCCACTGAGGAGAATACTTAATATCGACCACCGTAAGCTGCATTTCTCTCTCCTTTTCCTGCCTACTTTCCTTCCTTTCAGCTTTCCGCTTCCATCACCACATCCGCTGTTAGTGTTTATGGTTAGATGTTAGTGGCAAACAACTTATTATAAAAGCCACCAGTAAAATATAAGAAGAATACTTAATATCGGCCACCATAATGTATCCTACACAGTATCATGACCATAGTCACTTCTCCTGACATTCACACTGCTGTTTGTACAGTGTCATTTTTTTTTGTCTCCACGTAATTCGTAGTGTAATTTCTTTCAAAAGCTGTAGTGACATTGTCAGATATAATGAGTCAGAAAACATGGCTACATTTTTGTTGTTGCATGTTAATCTCATGGCAGTGTTGTGGCTACGGACATAAGACCTTTTGAAAGGCAATTCTTCACACTAACAATACAGATGACCCTGTTCACTTTAATTGCCTCAGACTACTCACCATTCTTCTTCTTTTGCTTCCTTTTTTCTGCACTCAGCCTTAGAAGAGCAATTTTCTGCCTTGTATTGGGATTTACAGCTAGGCTGTTATATCTTCATCTTTTGGCCCACCACATCTGATTTTAGCAACAACAAAAAGTTACAAATTCACCTTTTATGACATCCCTGAGCCCTCAAGAGGAAAAACTGCTTGCCGCTCACAACACAGCATAATTAGTAACAGTTTAGAGAGTCACTCACTGCTTTCTGTTAAATGCACACTGGACTGTGTAGCCATATTTCTGACTCACCTTGAGTGGTTTGCCTTTTTGGCGTGTCTGTATCATTTATATCTGGAAGCTGTCAGAGACATCAATCATGAGTAAATGAATTGTGTATACAGTAAACTGGTTGATAGATTGAGACATATCAGTATTAATGGTACACTGTGAGAGGTGCTTCCTTCAGTCTTGACTGAATGGTGTTGTTGCCTTAAAGCTGAAGTGGTTTCAGAGACATTCAAAGGTCAAGTGGAAAAAAAAAACATATCTGTGAAAAGATCTTGAATGTATTCAGATAAATCTTGGTGCGTAGATGACATGCTTTTATAGTTTTTCATTATTTGAGTTACCTCAGAACAATATTAGTTGTAGAGGCTTTCAAAAGTCAAAATGGAAGAAGTGTTTGAAAATATCTGGAATGTATTGAAGTGAATCTTGCTGGATAGAAAAAAAATGCTTTTATAGTCCTCCTTGTTTGTGGCATTAGAGTTTTATTTGTTTAGAGACATTCAGAAGTCTAGTGAAAGAAGAATTACCTGTGAAACTATCTTGAAGGTATTTGTGTAAATCTTGGTTCTTGGTGGTAGAGGAAATGCTTTTTATAATCTTCATTTGTTTTCTTCTTTTGGTTTCACAGCTGTAAATTCCTGCAGAAAATTCTGGCTGCTTGTCTACTTTTAGACTTAAGTCTTGTTTCAGAACTGGAGTTTTAATTGTCCAATGATTTAACAAATCTGGCTTAAACTTTTGTGCAGACTGTTGGTTCCTCATCTCTCAGGCAGATGCATTCTGATTTTGACAGAAATAACCCTATTAGTCTACTTTTAAAACATGCTTGTTGAGGGAAGCAGTGGGTCTGTTTCTCTCTGTCTCTTTCTGTCTTCCCCCCCACCCCACATAATGGGGCTCTGAAACCTATGTGGGGATATAATCCTCCAAAATCATGTCTTAGTACCTGGTTCACTAGCGGTTCATTAGTTGTGATCTCTGTTGATGCAAAGTTCACATGTCAGCATGAACTGTTGATACATGATGTTAGAGAACACAAGTTGTGGAGAGGCATGATTGTCCATGCTAGTCGGTAATGCACTGATTGATGCAGTGCCTATAGTGATGTTTTTTTCACCCTTTCTTTCAGATCTCAATTTTTTCATTGTAGAGTAATGAATTTAATCCTAGTATATTTTTACTGTCTACATCTGTGGCTTAGGCATTGCAAACATGCTTCGTAATTCTGTGATGCTTGGTTCTGTCTCCAGCATCTGGCATTTTGGCAGCAGACCACCTTGTGTTCGTTTAAACAGTGTTATCTAGAGCCAACCATTCAGAGATCAGTGGCAAACTACTGAAAATAAAATTGCCTAGGGAAATCAAAGTCAGGAAATGCTGGGGTTGGTTCTGTAATGTCCTGTAAAGGACATGCAAGTATATATTTTACTGTCCTCTTAACTATTCTAATACCATGTTTGTTTGTTTCTTGATTTACTTCAG